TTGCTCTTAAAGTTGTTGAATGCTACTGCTTGGTTCGGCCTTTATCAGTAGACCGGTAGATTATCTTATTTATCCTGGCCCTTGTCCTCATTGTCTTCACCTCTTGTTCCTGTGGGACTTTGCAGCCATTGAAAGAAGTCATTGTGGCAACCAACTGGGATTCAAAGTTTGAAGTTTAAAGGTGGCCTTAGGGCTTTTTTTGAAATACATATATATGCTTTAATACTTTTGATTTGACTTCACAAAGTAGTTCCCTTTCTGGCACCTCTGTTCTGCCTTTTTTCTACCTTTTCTTTTTGCATTTGTTTACCTTTGCCTTTTTTTTACCTTTTTTCACCTTTTTGATTTAATTTTTTTTACCTTTCCCCCACCTTTTTTTTAAATTATCAAAATCCCACCTGTCTGGATGACTCAAGATTATAACGCAAGAGGATGATCTACGCTTATTTGTTTCCGTTTCTTGCGTTACTCTCAACTACAGCTGGACTCTGCTCATGCATGAAAGAAGAAAGCGGGGTGGGCAGTGCTGGATTCAACCTAGGTTCGATTTCTTTTCCTTCTGTTGTGGAGTGGGAGGAAGGGGAGAAGAGAGAAGGGACTTTAATCTAAATTCCACCCCCCTCATCTTGTTTTGTTTTGTGTTTCATTGTTCGAAAATCAGAGGAGTAGAGACGAGATTGTTTTTGTTTTTAGAAGTAAAGAGCGGGGGGGTTGGGGGGGGCGCAGCCCCCCCCATTTACTTCTTGTAAAGTGGGAGGGAGAAGAGAGAAGGGATTATGTTTTAAAATTTGTAGAGACGAGGCAGTTGGAGGAAGGGAGAAGAGAGAATGTGGAGTGGGAGGAAAGGAGAAGAGAGAAGGGAAGGTGTTCTAAATTCCACCCCCCTCGAATCTTCTTTTTTTTCTTGTATTTCTTTATTCGAAAAATCAGAGGAGTAGTGACTAGACTTTATTTTAAATCACAGACGAGGGAGTGGGCGGAAGGGAGAAGCGAGAATGCGGAGTGGGAGGAAGGGAGAAGAGAGAAGGGAATGTATTCTAAATTCCACCCCCCTCGAATCTTGAATTGTTTGTTGTGTTTCATTATTCGAGAAATCAGAGGAGGAGAGAGAAGGGAATTTATTCTAAATTCCACCCCCTTCGAATCTTCTTTTGTTTTTCGTATTTCATTCTTCGAAAACTCAGAGGAGAAGGGAGAAGGGAATGTATTCCAAATTCTACCCCCCTCGAATCTTCTTTTGCTTTTTTTGTTTCATTATTCGAAGATCAGAGGAGTAGAGACGAGAGTGTTTTTGTTTCTAGAAGTGGAGAGCGGGGGGGATTGAGGGGGGCGCAGCCGTGAGACTCTGGAGATGCCCCCGTCTCTCACCTTCGAAGCCTTCCAAGCTCCCTTCGTCCTCACCCTTCCAAGCCTTCGAAGCCCCCCCCCTTCGTCCTCGCCTTCGAAGCCTTCGAAGCCCCCTTCGTCCTCACCTTCGAAGCCTTCGAAGCCCCCCCCCCCTTCGTCCTCGCCTTCGAAGCCTTCGAAGCCTCCTTCCTCACCTTCGAAGCCCCCTTCGTCCTCACCTTCGAAGCCTTCGAAGCCCCTTCGTCCTCACCCTTCGAAGCCTTCGAAGCTTTCGTCCTCACCCTTCGAAGCCTTCCAAGCTTCCTCCTCACCTTCGAAGCAGACCTTCACCCCCCCCCCCCCCCCCCCCCCCCCCCCCCCCCCCCCCCGCCCCCCCCTCCCCCCCTTCGACCCTTCGGCTTCGAAGGCTTCGAAGGCTTCGAAGCCCCCTTCGCCGAAGGGTAACGGGCCGCGCACAGGGCATGTAGGTCTGCATAGAACTTCTCCTTCTCTTCATCTTTTGCACGGAATGTTGGTGCGTACACAGATATCACATGAAACACTCGGCCTTTAATGAGTAGTTTAATCTTCATGAGTCTCTCACTATGATAAACAACATGACTACCCGCCACCCTCCAAGCAGCCTGCGTACTGGGCCCAAGTACGAAGGAAACGCCGTACAAGGACACAGGCGCTTCTTCTGGTAGCCCCGAAAACAGAAACAGAAACTCGTCCGCGCGCAATGTACCACATCCTTTCCATCGAGTTTCCGACAATGCCCCCAACACTAGCCGATGCTTCCGAAACACACTACAAACATCAAAAGGTTTTGTTGGACTTGCCCCTTCAAACTCCAAATCCCCCCCCGGTTAGACACCTTGCAGCTTCTAGAGACCAGAGGTTTTGGTTTACTTTGTTACTGCAGCTGAGACGTCGAGTTTCATGGATTTTGCAACTGATGGATTCTGCAACTGTAAGGTCTCTGTTCTGCTTCTTGCGCAATTTTTTCTCGGAGGCTACAGACATAGCGGGAGAGTGCTTCGCACCCCCATTTTGCCGTTAGGCAAAAAATCCAAGTAACTGCGGTGTTCCATTCACCGTCGCGAATGTGCATGCTTCAGGGTACCTTGCCGCGTATAACACCGCCGAGATTTCGGGCGGCCCCAGAGATCCAAGCACTTGCACCATGGTTTTGCAGGGGGATTGATTGGCCACAGTGCAAGTGCAGCACCTGGAACTGCTGTGGCAAGCACTTCCAAACCCCCAATAACCGAGATCCCTGCTTCTGCCGCGGCAGATCTGTGCACAGGTGACTTTGTGGCTGTTGCTGTTCCCGCCTCATCTGCCGATGAGGCCAATCCTCCCAGTGTTGCTGGTCATGAGTCCTTTGCCAGCTCATTTTGTTGTGCAAAGTCAGGTGCCCCGACCTGTGGGTGAGACTCCACAATTCACGGCTGCTGTGCGTCGGTTTGGTTTGCCTAGTTTCGGGACGGATTACGCTTGTTCTGCCACATCGCGGGCCCGATCGATCGTTCATGCTGACCTTTGAGCCCAGGAGGGCGTTGTGTGCGGAAGAAATGTGTGAATGGGTGCGCATTCGCACGCAAGCTGATACGCGGCCGCAGCGCCATTGCCAGTCCCATCAAAATAGACTGGTGAAGCATGGGTGCCTGGTTTGGCACTTTCCAAGAGCGCTCCGATGCCCGGGGCGTAGCTCAGAAATGCCTGGAGGTGGGCCTTCTTTGAGTAAAAGGGCGGATGGTGCCTCGCAATCGATAGGCTTCCTGAGAATGCGAGCCCTGGCCATGCGGGTTTTGCTTGCATTCTTGTGCCTACTTTTTGCTGGTTTGGGCAAGTTGGACATTGTATATACAAGCCATAGTGTCCAAGCTGTGGGCCTGCATCTTGGGGGCCAGTCTGAGGGTCGCTTTTGCACCTTTCTTCAAAATGCGGATCGACTGTGGCTGGAAAAAGGCTCTTCAATACCATCTGCGTGCACTCTTCAACAGGGGTACCGGCGAAGTGTTCGCATGCTATGGTGTGTGAAAAATGAGAATGTGCGGCTTGACACTACCCAGGTCTCTCCTCTTGAGTGATTTGGCTTCTCTGAGCCGCTGACTGAGATAGGTTGTAGATAGTGCGGAGTCGTGTTTCACCGTCAAGATGGCCGGGTACCCAATGGGGCCTGTGTGCCTATACAATAGGCCGGTGGCTTTGCTAACCGCGTTCTTGATTGCTCGCCAGGCAAGGACAACTTTGCTGCGTCTCGAAGTCGAAGAAGAAGTGGATTTCACAGAAATTTTGCATAAAAATGTAAGAATTAAGAATATGTTGAAAAACATTTTGTTTTCAGAATGTATTCCAAAACGAATGACATTTTTCAATTTTTTGGAATTGTAAAGCCATATCTTGGAAGAACACGCATATTAACATGGATTTTTCAAAATTTACTGAGACTTTTCAACGCGCTCGCAAAAAACTCAAGCGCAAATACGCACGGGAGCATGTAGAGTGCTTCGCAGCACACTGACATCCTTTGGCCGTCGCATTTCGGAAAGGACCGCAAACATTGCATAGCTTTCGGATAGCACATCGGATCACATCGGCAAAGTCCTTGTAGGAACCCCTTCGAGACTTTTTGAAGGAATCCGTGGAAACATCGAGCGAAGAACATGCTGGCGGTGTTGCAACCCCTGCACGTGAGGTTTCCTGAGAGGACCAAAAAGATGCTGGCTGTGTGATTTACGGAAACTTTCATTGTGAATGTCGGACGAAATGAGTCCGAAACACCTTCCAAATCAGAAACACTCTCAACCAGCGCACGTTCCCGCGATTGAGAAGATGGCTCCGGTAGAACTGCAATATCGCCACCTTTTGCAACAGACAAATTCATGTCATGCTCGCGCACAGCCATTCTAAATCCTCGAGGCAAATTCTGAAAAGAAACCCTAGTGGTAGTGGTAGTGGTAGTGGTAGTGGTAGTGGTAGTTGTAGTGGTAGTGGTGGCAGTGACAGTGGCAGCGGTAGTGGTAGTGGTATATACACCCCGACAAAAATGCGAAAATGGAATGATGTTGCATCCGACTGTTTGTGTTTGCTGTAGAAAGTCATGACGTGCCATTGAGCCACATGATCGCTGATTGATGTGACGTGGTTCTCATGTCGGCATGGCCGTAGCCTTTGCTCAAAGAGTTCAACACAACACGCAATGGATCCGCCCCTGGTGTTGGTTTTAGTTTCAGCTTTTCCCATCCCATGGCATTGTGGAGTCTTCACGTCGCATTTGGGATGCAGCGGCATTGATGCCATGGCACATCAATGGGCAGGGACCTTGTGCTTGTTCGTGAAGTGCCATGTTTCCAATATGTTTCTCATTGGGCTTGGCATTGATTTGACAGCGTCTCGCTTGGGCAGATCGATCAATAACTACAGGCATCCCCTGTACAAAGTGGGTTGCATCGCTGCATTGCAACCTTTTGGGACAACCGCTGCTGTGTATCTCAAGTGCACTTCGCGGAAGTGCCTGCAATTCTTGTGCGGCTGTAGTGGGATCCCAGGTGGGATCATCAGCACCAGACGCAAAAAGCATATGTTTTGCCTGGGTTTCCACGCGCTTGTGGTGGTTATGAGTCATGAGATATTTGGCCCCGATTGTTGTCATTTCTGACAGGAACATGGCGCCATCCATTCCGCAGGCCATTGTGTTCTCGCATGCACATGTGGTCAGTGTAAGATGACGGGTTAGACGATGATTGTTTTACATGCCGAGGTCGCCATCAAACCAGAGAAATGGCCGCAGACAGTGTATTCGACACCTGAGCCTTCCTTAGCAAAGGCCAGCTTTTTGAATCCGGCCAAGTTTGAGCGTGTGTTTCCGTCTGCTTCACTGTGTTCCTTTTTTTTGTTGTGTGTGTGTGTGTGTGTCTCTGTCTGTGTGCGCCCGTGGAGAATTTTTGTCTTGTGCCGGCCAGGCTGAAGCGGACAAGTTGCTTGCCATGAGATTTGATCCCGCTTTCTACCGCAGTGCGTACCTGCAACCGGTCTTATGTGGAGCCTTTTCATGTCCCATAGGTCCTGTTGGTGATTGTTCAACAGGCTGCTGTTTGCCCTTGCTGTCAGATCCTAAGGCAATGTATGGGCCGTGGGCTTTCACAGAAGGTGGAACAGTTCTGCTTGGGTACTTTCGTTGGAGCTGTTCATTTTTCCAAGGCTATATGGTTGACGCTGTATGTTTTGGTGCCAAACATGTGACAGGACTGCATTGCGAGCCTGTCGGCTGTGGACTCCAAGATCACGCCATCTGGTCCACTGTCCGACCCTGCTGCCAGCGACGCGATGTCAAGCATCCTGCTTGCGATTGGTGTTGGTTCTTCTTGTCATGTTGCTTGTGATTTCATCTCCGTACTCCATGTCTGAGGCGCCATTGCCTGCATAAGTGCCAACGGTATCTCTTCGGCATAGAGTCATAGAGTCTGCAGAAAGTGCAATCACAGGTTGGATTCTAGTGTGAAGCAACCACTGTTTCAAGGAGGTGATGTGGACAAGTGCACCACGCACTTTGATGCTCTTAGCAAGCTTGCTGGCTACAAGGTGTCAATCATTCCAGTTCTTGCTCTTTCGATGCAGATGTCAGCTGTGGTGCTGTTCCTTTCTCGGACTGTTCCGTGATATCCGTGTTTCCCTTGAGGAGGAGGAGAAGAAAACCTCCGTTCAAAAAGCTTCCGAGTTCTGCTCAAAGGTGCAGCCTAGTTGGCGTTTTTCATGTATGTGGCTTGGGCATGTGGAGCCGGTGCCTATCTGGGCCCTGCCTGTCTTTCAAAGGCTGGTTGGAAACTGATCGCCGTGCCTGCCCTGTATGTTGGCATCTGGGCCTTATGAATGGTAGTGAAGGGCCCCTGCATGCTGGATGCAGATGTGTGAACACCTCTCAGCATTTCCGAAAGCTTCTGAACGCTTCTGAACCAGGCATGAAGTTCATCAAGATCAAGTGAGCCCCCTTCAGACCAGCGAACGAGTTGCTTTCCGTGCGACATCCTCCCGGGTTGGCGTATTGGACACGGGTTCAGAGTTTCGACTTGAGTGGCTGTCACGTTGCTTGCACTTTGGGAGAGATGTTGCAGTATTGCTTTGGAAGTGTTGCTATATGTAAGAGCAGTGATTTCTCTGCTTTTTGAAAGCCGCGCAACTTGAGCTGAGTGGAGTTCATTGCAAAAGACTGTGCAAAGAACCCGGCAGTCACTCGTGAGTTCCATTAGCATGTCAAAGCCATTCGAAGCCGGAAGACTGAGGCACAGCGTGCTCCACTGAGCCAGGCCAGAAGCAGGCTCGATGCCGTGCGGTATAATGGCTACTGACAACTTCGCAGGTTTGTGTGCTCAGCAAGAGTTGCTCAGGCACTGGTGCCCTATTCTGAAGAGTCGCAGCTGTCTGCTCAGCATCTGGCACTTCATGGCGGGTGCAACAAACCCTAAGGGGGTGCTTGTCCCTGGTGGGTTGTGTTTTTTGAGGCTGGTTTCGTCTGACGCCCTCCAAGATGGTCGGGATGACGCCCCCGGGACTTTGAACTTTGAAGCTGCACGAGTAAGCAGCGCTTTCAAGTGCTTTCTTTTACTGCTGTGAGGCGTGGCAGAGCAAGAGCTCTACGGAGTACTGCTCTTTTGATCAGTTGGCGGGGTCCTCACACGCCGCGCGGAGGGTCTGCATGGCTCATGGGACATCATGGGACCATGCGAAGCAGTTGGGAGGGCTGTGGAGATGTGGGATGTTGTGGGCTATGCTGTCCAAGCAAGACGGTGTCCCCGCACCGCACTTTTTCCTCGATGCCAGTATGCAGGCACCAAGACCTGTAATGCAGAGACGATATGATCTACGATGTGCAGTTGAAGACCACAACGATGCGGTGTCCATGAGTAGGTGCCACTCGGCAGAACGCAGAGCAGTCATCAGGAGGGTCCAACACCCACACTTCCCGCAGATTTGTCCCAGAGCGATGGCTCGTGCGCTGATTCGCAATGCAATCGAGATGGGTGCTCCATTGTACAATGCTGGCCACTCAGCCTACCGACATATGCCGACTTCTTATGAATCGTCACTGCATGACACTGGCGCATACACCATAGGCTGGCCAAGTTGCGATGTGCGCCAGAATCTACGAGGACGTGAAGCCATGGAGCTAAGTTCGCTGCGCGCTTTGGGGACGTAACTGGTGATGTGATGCTGAGTTGCTTGGTGGGGCCGTTTGCAGGACACTGCCAGAAAACTCTTGTTGGACCAGCGAGCGGAGTTGCGGGGGCCTGTTGCGTTGGCTTCCTAGCGATGCGGACCTTGCGAGCTTTTGTGCTTTTCAAACGCTCAAATGCCTGAGGCAATCCCTAACAGATGCACTGACGGTTGCTGGGGCGCTGGGCTCTTTGCCAGCGCCCTCGGAGGCCAGGATTTATTTGGCAATTTAACAAAAGCGGCATGAGTTCTCCGCCTTGAACCTTAAATCGCAGTGTCCCATATCGATCTGATCTGGCAACCCCACCGAACGGCCTATTGTGTGCTGTGCGTGCAGTCATCTTGTAAGGCGGACCAACTTGCCTGGGCCTTCCGGCGCGCCTTTGATGAGCAGCTTGCCATGCTCCTAGTGCAAGAGTTATGGAGAAGAAGCATTGTTTCAACCAATGGGACACATTCTTTCCTTCCGTGCCCTAGGCCTTAAGAACCCCCAACCCTACAGTATTAAACCTGGACTGCCTGAACGCAGCCTTGTTGGAGTGGCAGGGCTTCGAGCTACTCAAAGGCACTATACTTGGTGCAATTCGAAAGGCCATGTCTTGAGTTCTGCATGTGTCGCTCGTCGAGCAAGAGTGTTTAGCCCTCCCAGGAGCCTCAGAAACACAATGAACCAGATGACCGCTGGTCAGCCAGTTGCAAGATACTGAGGCTTCCAAAGATGAAGCCCCTCTGCAAGGCAGGGGCTGAGTGATTGTGAAGTGATTGTGAAGCGACTATGTAGCGGCCTCTGTAGCTGCAGACAAAATGTCCTGCGATAGGCGCAACAGGTGCCAAGGCCATCATTGCTGCTGCCATCCAGAAAGGTTGGAATCCCGAGCGCTGCCAGTGCAGCCTTGTGTGCATTCTGGCAAGAGTGTGTCGTCAGCCAGGTGAGCAGCTTTTTTTTCTCTACGAGCAAGGCTACGTAGAGACGCGATCATTGAAAGTCGGCCGCGTAGCGTTTTGCCTGCAGGGCGTAGGTTTGCGTAGGGTCCGCGTGGGCAAGTCTATGCAGTATGGGCTCGTAGGTCCGTGCTTGCCGCGTAGGTCCGCGTAGGCACACGTCAACAACATACTCCGCGCGTAGGCCGCGCGCCTACTAAACATGAGCTGACGCGTAGGCCCGCGTAGATACCCATGCCATTGCAACACCCCACACAATCAAAAAAAAAATGCTCAGGTGTTCCGTTGTACAACAGTGGAAATCCCCAAGGATGCGCGCAGGCTTGGGGTATTTTCAAGCATGTTTTTTGTAGTAGATTGGCTTTGTCTTGCATCCGAAGGTATACAAAGAAGCGGCCCAGAATCTTCTGGATGCAGGCTGCACTTTACCGCTATGCATCGTCAGCAGACAAAACTCGCATGTGGAATGAGGATCGGTGGGTACGGGTGCCCACGCCACACTTCAGTTGGATGCTCAGAGCAGCGAGCAGCAGTTCGAGCAACGTGAGAGCAGTCACAGTCTAGATGCCAGCTCTGTTACCTTCTGACCGGCTGCACAGCATATGCACAGCAACAAAGATTCCAAGTTGTGGAACGTTGTGGAGGCGGGCGCTAGATTCGCTACAGCAGCTCCCCAGCGCTGATGCGCGTGCCTGGGCCCTGCGTCGGGCACTGGATGCCGTGGCAGCGAACGACACTCCGTCTCCACCGTCGGAGAGTCGGAGTCTCAGCTAGGTTTTCTCTGCCACAGGATCGACAGCGAGTTCAAGCTGATGGGTACACATGGGAACGTGCTTTTTGAGACATTGTGGAGCCAAGGCATCTCACCGCCGGCCTTGGTCCGCGATTTCTCAACCGCAAGCGGGCTGGAGGTGTGTTGGCCCGTGCCACACGAAGACACGAAGAAACGTGAAGAGAACCAGGGCTTTGTGTGTCTGTTGGGAAAGAACGCTGCGGCACACTGAAACGGAGATTCCTGTGACCCTCTGTGCCCCTTGGCTCCCTGATTTCGGGACTCGCTGGAGTCACGGAGGTGGCCGGCTTTATCGTGAACGACACTGTGATGGGTGGCCGCTCTGATAGCGAGCTCGTGATGTCCGACCAGGCTCGGAGGGTTGCAGTTTCATTGTTTGTAACGGGAAAGGCAGCTCTTTGTTCCGATCCTGGAGTGGTAGGCGCAAGCATCTCATGCCAACTACTTCCGACATTGATTTTCCACCATGGACCGCAAGCTGTCCAAGTGCAGCTCGGTTGCCTTTGTGAATGGTGCCTCAGCAGGCCGCCGTTTTCCGCGGCACTGTCACCAAGCGCGGAGGCGGTGGCTTTGCCTCCGTTCGATTCCAGCCGCGGGACCCCCAAACAGACAAGCAGCATGCTGCATGTCTGCATGTCTGCAGAATGTGTTCATCCCAGTTTGTGGAGGGTGCTCACCCCGCCCCAGCTTACATATTTTCTAATTGTACACTTTGTACACTACAAAGCCATACGTAGAATCTTCAAAGATGAAGGCATCTTGCTATCTTCATGTTCTTTGAACATATGCACATACATAAATGCATATACACATGCCTACGCATATGCGCAAGTGCATATGCGGATTGATTGAAGTTGAGGGGCATGAGCTTGGTGTTTGTGCACTGCAAAAGCTTCCGGTTTTGTAGCCATCAGCGCAGAAAGACTTTCCTGGTTTTGCACGCGAGGCCTACCAAATGTATATGTGTAAATGAATGTGTATGTACACGTCTATGCATAGATGTCCCCTCGTAGGCCGGGGCTTGGGGGTTTTCAGTTTTCAGGTTTAAGGTCGTTGAGGGTTCAGAGGGTTCAGGGCCCAAATGAAGATTCTCTCCCTGTCGCCTTAGCATCCTAAACCCAAAACAAAACAGCAATGAGCCTCTAAGCTGTCAGTTAAAGCCTAGGGAAACAGTACCCGTGGGGACTCGCTTGTGGTGCGCGGAGTCCTTACTATATTCAGACCGAATTCGGAGAAATTGGCCTGAATGTTTTATAGGGCGGGTCACCAAGGTTTCTCTACCAAACTATCTCCGGTGCATCTTGGTTCTTGGTTCTTGGTTCTTGGTTCTTGGCTCCCGAGGTCCGGAAAGTTGAGGTTCAGCATTCCTCATATCGAGGCTCAACATTTAGGGGTCTGGGGCGGCAAGATTGCTCACCAAAGCTCCTCAGGGGAACCTTGATTCTTGGTTTTTGTTTCCAGGTCGCGGAATATTGAGCCAACTTTTTCTTGAATTGAGCCGACTCCGAACGAAACTAAAGTAGTCTTGACTACCGGACACGCAAGACCTCCCATCGTACGCAATCAAGACTGGTCTTCAAACTGTATCGTGGCATCCCCATGTCTAGGTGACAATGTAGAATCCGCAAACGTAGACGTTAACTAGTACTAAAGGCGAACACCGAAAGAAACAAATAAGATAAAGTATACCATTGTGTGTGCATAATCATACAAACAAAGCCAATGTGCTCCCAAGTGATAACAAATTTCAACAAGGATATGTATATATATATATATATATGTAGATACACATAAGCTAACCCCCTCGATGTACCTACCATTTTTTGGCTAGGTTGGTATAATAATATCATTCACACACAAGCTTCTAGGGAAGGGTGCAGGAGTATTCGGCAGTAAAAAATTGCTAAGGGAATGCATTGAACAGCGCGTAACTTGATGAACTGCATCAAGCAAAGGCACGTTCTTCATTACTCACGGAGGACCTGCAGTTTGCGAACCTAGTCCGGCTCAAATACTTGACAGCTCAATTAAGTGTTTTTTTTTTTGTTTTTTTTGTTTTATGTGGCCCCCCTAGAGCACGGAATGGTTGGCATTCTCGAAGCTGACTTCTAGCCATCAACTACATGAAAATATTGCGTAGCAAATGGCCACATCTGTTTCTTCGAATGCAATAGGGCCGGAAACCAGCTTGCTTGTAGTATACCTATTGCTATATACAATCGATTATTGTTTGGCCCCCCTGAACAATCATGCAATCATTAATGCTGCTGATAGAGCCGCATTGCATTCGCGTCCCCGCCAACTATCAAGAATAGGTAGGTGAATTATGCTCATTTTGCCTTAACTGTTTTGTGTAAAACAGGGAGTCATATTGCTCAAGGATCTTGTTGGGTATTTCGATTTGCCATAAAGTATTAAAACATGTTTTACAATGTTGCCGTTATCTTGTTCGTGATTTGGACATGGGCCCCTCCCCCCCCCGGGTTTGGGATGTTAGAGCTTTAGGGTTTCTAGGGTGCGGGCCTCAGGGTTTGGGGTTTTTAACGTTCAAGGTTTTGGCTTCGGCCTTAGGGTTTAGAGGTCTAGGGTCTTAGGGTTTAGGGTTTTAGGGTTTAGGGTTTAGGGCTTTAGGGTTTTGGGCGGGGATACCATTGGGGGGGCCTTGGGGCGAGAACGCACAGCGCACGGGGCGCCGCCCGACCGTGGCCCTCTGTGGTGTCATGCTCCCCCGTTTTTCGGGTTTCGGGGAGAGGGGCTTAGGGTTTAGGGGAGGGAGGGCGGGGTGGTACCCTGCACGGCGAACCGCGAACTGAAATCATATATGCTACCTCCCCAAAACCCACCGTAAGGACAGTGTAAGGAAGTAGTGGTGACACTAGAATTATGTCTATGAATCCTAATGGTGTCTGAAAAGACAGGGTCTGAGGAAGTGTTTCTGTGGATATTTGTGTCGAAATGTGTGTTCCTGAAGGGGAGTGGATTTTCTCTGCTTGTAGTTCCAGTGAGCTTGAAATCTGTGGAGAATCCGTGGCCTTTAGTTTTGTTGGTTCAGAATCTGTGGAAAATCTGTGGAAAATCTGTGGAATATCTCTAATCTGGAAGGTCCGGACGCAGAGTTTTCAACAATTTTCCACACATTTCGAGGCTCGGCCGCCTCCAGAATCTGTGGAAAACCGGTGGAAAGTCTGTGGATATCTCTGTGTTCAGGCGATTTTCCTCAGATTTCGAGGCCCGGCCGCCCCTCGGAATCTGTAGAAAAAACAGGTCACAAACATAACACAGAAAAGTACAGTACAGAAAAAGCAACAAAAACATAATGCATTGTCTGAAACTTACAGCCTTTTTTTGAACATAAATATTTTGAGGAACCCAGACTATACTAAGCATTCGTACACCATACGCGGTCATGTTTTGCCGTGCAAGTTTTGTTTCAAAGCATATGCATGATTGAAATCCATCATGCGAGCGTTGTGTTTGCAAAGGGGGGGGGCTGCCCCCCCCCCCCTCAACCCCCCGCTTTTTAAGCCGTGCAAGCTTGCGAGCAACATCTATAAGAATTCCTACGAAAAGCAGTACGAATTGAAGATATGGAGGTTTTCGTAGGAAAATCAAAGAAATGGACCAGTTCCTATGAAAATATAGAGGGAATGGAGGTTTTTTGGGAAAAACCAAGAAAATCGACCAAATCCTATGAAAATTTAAAAGGGAGTGTAGCCTTTTCCTAGGAAGACCAGAGGACCAGCAAACCAGGGCAAGAAAAAGGTACCAAGCAACAAAAAAAAGTACCAAAAAAGGTCTCCGCCCATTCTCAGGGTATGGCCTTCCCTTAGGTTCCTTGGTAGTTTCAAAGCAAAACGAGGCCTAGAGGAGTTTCTTGAGGGAGTGACCAACCCAACTCATATAAGTGGCAGGAACGTTTTTCAAACTTAGTTGTGAACGAGGCGCGAATGGGGATTTCTCAGAGCCTGATGCGCTTGCGGAAAAGAGCGTACCTACACCCAGAACTGATGGACCTGCACGGATGGTGAAGCATGATGCCGCGACGCAGTCTGGTTACTCAACAAATCAAGGCAACAAGTGAGTCCCCCACAGGCGTGGCCTTCAAAGTCCTAACTCTCGCACCGAAATGCCAATCTCAAATTAAGCTTAAACCCCCTGATGATTCGACGCAGGACCGTGCTGCCTTTCTGGCCCGGCTTCGCTCCGCTGCGGGCCTGGCCCTGAAAATTCGCAGGAGCTGCGCTGTTGGGAAGCGCGCATTCGGCCGGGCCAGGAACTCTGTAGCCTGTCTAGCCTTTCATGCCCTGCTTAGCACTTATGTATTCGGCACATGCTCAAGACATCTCACGGCATCTCAAGACATTCTTCAGGATACATGGCTGCTCCAGCTGGAAGCTGCAATTGAACAGCCAGCTCTTCAGTCGTCCAGTGCTTGAAGCTATGCAATTGCAGAGGAAATATGCGTGACATAGCTCTTCAACGTCAAATCAAACACATGTGACAACTGCCAGGCCAGCAAGAGAAGCAATGGCAGAAGGACTGATCTCCACAGCAAGTGTGTAGTCTAGATTCAAATGGCAAGGTGCCCAGGTCGCAGGCGCGAAGTTGGCGTTGGAAGTGGTAGCCAGAAGAATGAGAGCTTGCTTCCGTAATATGCTGGCGGTGAAGAGAACTCTGCACTTCACCTTCATTGCGTTGTGAGCTGCGTGTGGCCTTGAGCACGACGGCACACCTGAGAAGCTGAGCCGGTTCCTGTTGGACGCATGCAAGTGCAACCTCGATTGGGAAGATGAGGTGCCCAGATCACAAGTGCAAGTTTGGCACAGTTGAGAGCGCACCTCATTCGTATGCCGGCGGTGAAGAGAACTCTGCACTTCACCTTCATTGCGTTGTGAGCTGCGTGTGGCCTTGAGCACGACTGCACACCTGAGAAGCTGAGCCGGTTCCTGTTGGACGCATGCAAGTGCAACCTCGATTGGGAAGATGAGGTGCCCAGATCACAAGTGCAAGTTTGGCACAGTTGAGAGCGCACCTCATTCGTATGCCGGCGGTGAAGAGAACTCTGCACTTCACCTTCATTGCGTTGTGAGCTGCGTGTGGCCTTGAGCACGACTGCACACCTGAGAAGCTGAGCCGGTTCCTGTTGGACGCATGCAAGTGCAACCTCGATTGGGAAGATGAGGTGCCCAGATCACAAGTGCAAGTTTGGCACAGTTGAGAGCGCACCTCATTCGTATGCCGGCGGTGAAGAGAACTCTGCACTTCACCTTCATTGCGTTGTGAGCTGCGTGTGGCCTTGAGCACGACTGCACACCTGAGAAGCTGAGCCGGTTCCTGTTGGACGCATGCAAGTGCAACCTCGATTGGGAAGATGAGGTGCCCAGATCACAAGTGCAAGTTTGGCACAGTTGAGAGCGCACCTCATTCGTATGCCGGCGGTGAAGAGAACTCTGCACTTCACCTTCATTGCGTTGTGAGCTGCATGTGGCCTTGAGCACGACGGCACGCCTGAGAAGCTGAGCCGGTTCCTGTTGGACGCATGCCGCATGCAATGGAATTTCGATTGGCAAGATGAGTTCGACATGGCCTGGGTTTTGAAGTTTTGCAAAGACGCAACACTCCTGTTCTCTGCCCCCAACGTCGCCCCTCAAATATCAGCTGTTGCCTGCTGCAGGACTTCGTGGTTGCTGAGGCTCAAACAGTGCAGGACTGTGCAAGCACGTCAGCCTAGGAGGCCCATTTGCAGCATGTTGGTCCGTGGTTTTCGTTTGTGCCCGAAGTATGTGAAGTAGGGTTTATATTGATTTCATGTTTGAGTGGTTCCTTTAAGTATTGGTAAGCTTACATATGATCACGGGCTCCCAGGTCCTTACCCCTTCTAGTGGCTGAACTCTGAACGAACCCTAAGCCCTCAACCCAACCAAACCCTGAGCCCTAGAACCACTGGGGGGCAGAGTGAAAACTCTAGGCCCTAAACCCTAGATCCTACTTCATCCAACCTTAAACCCTCAAGCCTAACTCAACCCAACACCTGTGGGGGTGACACCAGGGGCGGTACCGGGGATACTTGTGCGTTTTGACGCCCTGCGGCCAAGTTCCGATCAAAGCCGTCCCTGCGTCTTTGACAGTTCCGGCAATAGCTTTGCAAAAGAGAATCATGCACACTTTCTGGACTTGAAGCTCACCTGAAATGGTACATTCTTAGGGGATCCTCTTCGGAGTAGGTCAGATTCAGGGGCTCATTCGCGCCCAGTTTTGCCCATCGGTCCTTGCCATGGCTCAGATGCTTGGAAGCACTTGCATCCGCGTGACCCTAGCTACCACTTATAATGGCGAATGAAGTTGCGGATGCTTCAGAGCAGGTGCTTTGCAGGCGTGCAGCTGAGGACAGGTACTCTGAAGAAGTTCTTTCCCGAGAAAGGCATAGGTTGCTGGGACAGCAGTTGCACAAGTTTCAAGCCTTCCAGGCATTATGGCGGCACATACAGTCCTGCTAAGAAGGCTACATAGCTCCCGACGATGGCAGCGAAGACGTCTTCATCCATTTCCAGGCAGTCACCAACGGCGGCAGCCCGTCTGAATTCACAGATTTGCAAGCTCCCGACGAAGCGCTGTAATTCCTTTTGTTCACATATGTGTTCACACTGCCTCCACTTTGTTTGCCGACGCGGTCTGCTCAGGAGAGTCTGACATGATCCCAGGGGCCAGGATGAGCTACGACCTGGAGATCAATGACCGGAATGGGAAGACCAAGGCGCTGCAGCTGAGACTCTGCGTCGGTCCTAGGACCTAGGGCAGGGCAGTTTGCATGCAGAGTTTACGCAGTTTCAGCATCTTTGACCAGGCAGTTCGAGTGACGATCGACTCACCCGGCGACCCCAGCAACCAGTTCAAAGGCGGTGGTGGCGGCGGCGGTAAAGGCGCTGCACCGAAAAGTCCCTTAGCATGGCAGCTACAGTCCTGTCGGCAGGAGGCTACGGGAAATCCTATGGAGGTTATGGCAAAGCACCTACCGGAGGCTTCCGTGCTCTTGCACATGTCTGAAGTAGCTTCTGCTTTGCCTGTGCTAGGCAAGGGTCATGGGGCCGGTCCTTACGATGGAGGCAAGGGAGGTTGGAGTCTGAGCAGAACTGCCGTTTGGTGGGGGGGGGGGGACAGCCCCCTGAACAGCTCTCGTGACCGTGGGCTTTGGCTCTTTGAGGCGCCGCGAACTACGACATGAACGCGATCTGGGCTGCCTTGTACGCACAGGCGAGGGTAGCTTCTGGCGTCGGTCGGTAGGTTTGTACTATTGTACCATTCCGTGCTTCTGCTTGGAAATCCCTACTAGGCAGCGGCGCTTGGGGCAGGACGTGATGCAATTTGTGCCATGCTGTGCATGTCAGCTGCGAAGACCAATGAACCCGGAAGCGTCCACTGAGTGGAGGAATGGGTGGGCAGGGAACTGAGCCGCTTGGAACTGTTTGGATACAAGAGATATTGTCTGTGCGCAACATTGCTTTTTGAGAAAGTTAGCCCTTTGTGTGTTGCCGCGGAAGTGTGCCGCCAGGCAGTCGTACAATGCTGCTTCGGGTACTGGTCAGCAGTGGTACTGAGCCCCCGCTTTTGGAAAGACTGGAGAGGCCACTGCCGGAATCAGATTCGTTCCTGTCACGATGCAAGTCAGTGCGGACAAGCCAATGTTGAGAACCTGGAACGGCCGGTATGTATAGTGGTGCTGCTACGCTGAACGGACGTTCAGGTTGCTGCAAGAAGTGGAGTGTGCAAAACGTGCGCTTTCAGCAGCTTGTTGCTCATCACATGGTCCAGCAAGAGAGTGTAGGTGGTGTGATCTCCGTCCAGCGGCGAGTCTTGCCGTGTTGTGCCTCGTTGTGCCTCGTTGTGCCTCGTTGCAGGACGTTCGGGTGCCATTGTCGGCAATGTGGCCTACCTGGCGTGGGCGTGTGGTCGGGGGCTGCGTGCTCAGGCTGAGGTTAGGTGTTAGACGTGATTGGGCTTTGCTGCCGTATGTGCCTCTGCTTCTACAGCAGCTTCTGCAATGGCCTAGTGCTTGCCTCAAGCGATCTCCATACATCCCCATCCCAAAAGTTGCATTGGCTTAAAGAGGTAGTGTCGAGCCCCAGGGCTGGGGCTTTTCGGCGAGCGGCATGGCCATGGTTGACTTCTGCCCGCCAAAGGCCATGCAGGCTGGACCTCACCGTAAAAAGAATGGGGGTTTACGAAAATAGGGGACCCCCAATATAGATGGATCCCCTTATCATCAGGACCCCGATAAGGTATCCCTACTTTCGGAAGCGACTGGAATTCAAGCTTGGCTGTCAATACGCGAGCGTGGGACGAACGCATCTTCCTGTGCTCTTCTCATCATAGATGCAAGTCAATATCACGTATCCAGACAAACTTCTGACGGTTGCCATCACAAGCTGCCATTCCAGGTGCCCAGCATTGTGCCTGGTGACTTTCACTGCGCTGCCTGCTGTGAGGCCACGCGGTTCTTTGAGTCTGGGTGCTGCTAGTTAGCATTGCTACCCTACTTGTACTGTAAGCAGTTTCTTTCAATCAACATTTTTTGGATTCGTGGAGATGTTTGTGATGGAAGGCGTTTGAAACAGCTACGGACCTGCGGGCGCACTGCAAGTCCGAGCGACATGTGTGCCTCGGCTCTACTCCCGCATTTGTATGGAGTTGATCCATGGTCCGTGCTGAACGTGCGATCCTCAGGTACAACATGAAGCGAAAGCTGTCCAGCTTGAAGCCAATTTCTCAAGATTCTGGGATGCAGGAAGATGAACTTAAGATTCAGCAAGGGTCTGGTATGTTGACGGTCGCGAAACAATGCTGTGGCAAATCTCGAGGTTTCCAGGTCCTCTTGTAGCCTATGCTCCTGAATAGGCGGTGGGGATGGAGGAGATCCAGTCGCTGCTTACAGCCCTGGCCCAAAGTTCGTTAGACCGTAAGACTGACTCCAGATCCAAATCTCTGAAGGCCAAAGTCCCTTAACCCGAAATCCCATCAAAGTTATGGTTCTTTGGAAGCACTCGCTTCTGGGCTTCTGGGATAGGGCTTTTTAGGCTTTCGGTTCAGAGCTTTCCAGCATGAGGGAGGCTTGAGGGTTCAGAGAACAGGATTTGGTGTCTTGGTTTTGCGGTGAGCTCTAAGACTCTGCCACCTTACGAAGCCCTTAAGTGCTCTTCTCCTCAAAGCCCTCAAGCCTGGCAGACCTTGTAACCACAAGAGAGAAAGACCCACCTTGATGTGAAATCTTGGGGAAGCGGAGCTGATGCTTGTCTTTTGGGGGCTCTCTGTCACACGCGGCATGGCTTGGCTGTTCGCCCATACAATCCCATCCATCTCCATAAGACTGTGAACCTCAGCGCATGTCAGGAAGCCTGGGAGCGAAAGCTTCGGGAACGAGAGGTCGGCGAGAGCACCAAAGGAACGGCGCACCTGAAAGCGGGAAAGGCTGGGCGCTAAGGAGACCTCATGAGACCTCTATAAGGAGGCCCCCCTCTCCGGATCCACGTTTCGGCATCTAATCTTGAAGGTATCACGGGGATTTCAGGAACGAGGCCAAGAGCTCGAAAGCTGAGGCGCACCGCAAGCCCGCTGAAGCGTCGACAGGGGGAGGCCGGTCCTGCTTCCATGTGCAGACTCCGTGGACGTGTTTGTAATCAGCCTGGCTCAGATGGAGAAACCTGCCCCAAGGCAGGAACATTCATTGAACTTTCCTAGCTTCCAAGGCTATCCAGCCCAGTCTGCGAGCGCAGTCGCCAAAGATGAAGAGGAGGTAACACCCACGGACTGTGTATCGCTGCGCAGATTGATAGTATTAGGCTGTATCATCTGAGAGCTTGTTGTGATCTTCCATGCAGGTGCCCGCAGCATTCTCCCCACGCCAGTGTCTGTTCGATCGCCAGCACTTCACGACAGTGGAGAAAAACTTGGCGCACATGCAGCTCCGATGCATTTTTCCATGTAGTTAGCCTCCAGGGCCGTGTGAGAGGGCTTCCGAGGGCTTTGACCGAGGTGGAAGACCTACAGCTTCTTCATCCCTGACAGGGAGTATTGCACCGATGTGGAGGGCCTGTTGGCGCACTTGTGGTCCAAGCATCTTGGCTTGCACAGCATTGAACAGAAAATGTAGTCGGCTGAATGACTTGAGGGTCTTAGCCGTCCTGGCCTTGGTGCAGGTGCACCGACGAGTATGTCTGCCTCTTCTGCAACCGCAGATTTCCAGATGCTGCCAGCACCCGCCGGCATATGCTGGACAAGGCACATGCACGGATTGGCACCGAAGCGCGAACCCGGCGGGGGAACCTTGACGAGCTTGGCTCGCAGGAGCACTCTGCGGCTTTTTGCTTAGCACTTTGGACTCAGCACGCAGAGCTAGGCAGCTAGGCTAAGTATTGACGGTATCTTAAGTCTGCAGATGTGTCTCCCTATTTTACCAGACTCTTGCAATTCGGCGAGGAGTTGGAAGCAGAACTTGAGCGGTTCTATGACTTCACCGGCTCCACACGAGATTCGGCTGCACTGCGTGACAAGCTGGACATCTTTCATCGCATGCCTCGCCAACACACACACAGTAAAAACAGTTCACTGGCAGTACTGGCCACCATGGCTGCAAATCGCATCCAGTTTTGCAAGGCGAGATCACAGAGCGCATCACGGATCCAGAGCATCGAGCGGCGTGCGGTGCTTGGATGTGACCACACGACCACGGGTTCGAAGTCTGGGTGGGGTTGGGGTCTAAGAATTGGTCTAAGGGCGCACCAATCACTTGCTTCGTGTGGCCCAGCTCTGTTGTTCCCGACACTCACTACAGCCCTCCCACGTGGCAGCTCCGAATAAGACAGAGCGTTGCTCCGCCATACAGCAAATTTGCAAGAACTCCATCTCCCTCTTGTGTGTGACGGGGGCGTGACGCGGAGAGTAACCGCTGTAACCGGAACCAGGGAGTTGTTACAGCAACTCGGTTTCAGGAACCTGTTCCAGGAACTAGGCCAAAGCTGTCCAGGAACTGCATGGAGGGTTGTACAGTTCCTGTTTCATGTCCCCGCTCGTTCTTGTAACGTCCTGGTCGGTTCCTGAACCGTGGTTCCTGTTACCTGGCGCGCTGGTTCCTGTTACACGCCTCACCCTGACGCGGAATGGGCTTTGGACAAGCGGGCCGCGAAGGGGCGTGATGAGATGTTGCAACTACCCTTTTTAAGAAGGTGGCGCTGTGATGCGACAAAGTTCTTGTTGCGAAGAAGGCCGCGTTGGACGGGGTGTGAAGGGGTCCCCAGTTTGCGGGTCCAGGTTCTGCGGGGTCCCGGAAACCTGCGCCCGAGCGTGCCGTTTTTTGGGCTGAGAGGTCTTGGCTGGGGCCTTGGGTGGGGTGGGAAGCTGAAGTCCGATGGCAAACCCCACACCCTAAAAGGAGATATTGTGTGGGAAACCCAGGCCCTAAGCCCTAAAAGCAGATGCCAGGTGACAAAACCCTGAACCCTAAAAGGAGGTATTGGTGGCCCTGAAACCCCTTAGCCCTGCAAGCAGAAACCTCAACTCCAACAAGGAGATGTTTGCTGGCAAACCCTTAACCAGAAGCAGACCCAAAAGGAGATGTTGGGTGGGAATCCGGAAGGGGCCTCCAAGACCCTCCAGCGAGGCTTCAGGAGACGTTGGCCGTGCGTACTAAAGTTGTGTACGCGCAGAATGCCGTGTACAGCTTGGAGGAGCGGACAAGTGCGCCTTGAACAGCCCGACCCAGTCTGGAGGGGCATGAGTTCGGGCCGTGACGGGGACGTGATGCCGCAGATGGCTGCCCCCGCGTGACGGGAGCAAGCTTGAGGATGGGGCGGAGGTGTCTGAGGCGCAAGATCAGGGCTGTGCCGTGGGAGTGTTTGAATTATAAAGCCGGCGCTGGTAGGGGGCCGCGTGGCTCAATGGTGGAGTCCGCAGGGTCATGATGGGGGCGGGATCGGGGGCGTAACAGGGGCCGATTGTGCCAGGCATCTTTTGGGTTCCAGGTTTACGTTCTTCAAAAAGGTCCCAGTGCATGCGGGGAGTTTTGAAATGTTTTGAAGGGTTTCTAGGAAGTCCTAAAAGGTGTTTGTTAAGCTTTCAGGGTTACGCGCCGGCGGATCTCACGTAGCATACATTACCTTCGCAGTGGCGATTGGTGGCAGTAGGGGAGGCAGGATGGCAATGTCGCTGCTTGAGAGTGGTGGTTGTTGGTGACGGCGGTGGCGGTGGCGGAGGTGGCGGAGGTGGCGGTGGTGGCGGTGGTGGCGGTGGTGGTGTTGGGGCAAATATCGGGGCGCTTCCGGTCCTGCTTCGCTCCAGTTCTGTAGCACGCAGCTGTGAGGGCAGGTGTTGTGCGACAGTTTGTTCACTGCAGGTCTGTCTTCCGCTATTTCGACGAAGATCGAGATGGCTACCTGAATCACGAGGAGCACGCATTCTGTTGTCGACATCCTGCAAAAACGCTTGGAGTGGCCAGGAAGTGTCCGAGCTGTGGAAGGCGACTTCCACAGACGGCAGCGAAGTCTCAACTTCAATGTTCAAGGCCGCCTGCCAGCAGGCGCGCCCCCAAGTATCCGAGGTGACCCGAGGTCAGACTTTGTAAGCCTCCAGAACTGTCCGGAGTTTCGCAACAGGTGGATGCAGACCCCAGGCGAGGCCTCAGCGTGGAGGCCTGGCGCATGCCGTCCCCATGCTACAGTATCCACCACTTAGAGACATGTCGAGACATTTGTGTATCTGTGTGTCTTGACACCGCCAGGCCTTGGGTCAACTGTATGCTGAAGGCTTTGCAGACCTGGAGCGGCACTTCGCTGTTTTAGAGGCGCGGAACGTCCACTTGTGGAGATTGATCAACAAACATCTCTCTTGAAGATTCTTGAAGTCATGTACCGACTCTGTGGCTTCCACGCACTGGAGAGCACGACACTATTCGCTTCCAGTCCGGTGTTTTTGGGGGGTTTTCTTGAGGAACAGCATTGTGCCAGCCCGCGTGCAGTGCAACAGGAGCTGCTTGCGAAGAAGCTTGCCTCCAGGAAGGCTGTCCTCCAAGCGAAGAGGATCAAGCAGGAGACCTCCAAGGATCCGATTCGCTTTGGAGTATTTTCCTTGTTCGGAGCGGTGCGGTCTTATGGGTGAGTCATGGCGCCGCTAGGGATGATGACTCCGAGACGAACCATGACCTTTGTCCGTGGGGCATAAGCGTTGTCTGGTTGATGAGCACTGAGCGGATTTTTATTGTGAGGATGACGCCAATGAGGACGAGGATGATGAGATCGAGGCCCAGCTGGGTGTTTTGTGTCAAGGCTAAGGTGTATTTACCTTCTGCAACGTTCGACCCAAGTTGGCACCACATGCTGGCATCAAATAAGCTGTGCTTTGCCCTCGGCTTCGCACCTGATGGAGCAACGGAGCACCGCGGTCTCTGCTGCGCCAGGACTCTGAGGAGGAGGATGGAGAGGATGACGACAGCTCTGGAACTGAAATCGTTTCTCGCCTGACAACCGGAAGACTGTCCTCGATTAAGGTTAGGGTTAGGGTGTGCCGTCGTGTGCACGGTCAGGTCGAGTGCGACGACGAGGCAGAATTTGAGGAGGCCTCCCTGAGTCCCTGAGTCCTCTGCCTTCGGCGAGGCGCGTGGATCGTGCCGCTACTTGAGAGGTCATGCGAATCCTTGGCTTGCAGCAAGCCACTGTGCTCGACAACGGCGACTTGAGGCCCTAGGGGTGAAAACCCATGGATCCAGAAGTTAAAGAAAATTAAATCCTGATTTAATTGTTGTGTTTGGGTTGGGTTTTGACCTACCTCGACATACCTTGTCCCTACAAAAACACAATTAAATCGTGATTTAATTGTGTTTCTTTGCGTTTGACTGGAAGACAATTAAATCGTGATTTAATGGTATAGCAAAGACTTGTGCTACTTGGTACCTGTTTGCACCATTAAATCATGATTTAATTGTACTATTATTACTATTATTACTATTAGTCTTATTATTCCGATTACTATGAGTCTTACTACTATTATTATTATTATTTTGACTACTAGTCTTAATATTACTATTAGTATTACCATTATTATTCTTATTCTTCTTCTTCTTAGTATTTTCTTATTATTATTATTACTATTACTAGTACTCGTATTACTGTTACTATTGTTATGAGTAGTATTATTCTTCTTCTTGCTGTTACTACCATTATAATTATTACTATTACTATTACTCGTATTACTGTTACTATTATTCTGAGTAGTATTATTATTATTATTCTTATTGTTACTACCATTATTATTATTACAACTATGATTATTCCTATTACTATCATTATTACTATTACTATTACTATTACTATTACTATTACTATTACTATTACTATTACTATTACTATTACTATTACTATTACTATTATTATTATTACTATTACTATTATTATTACTATTATTACTATTATTGTTCTTATTATTACTCTTACTCTACGGGGAACAATTAAATCGTGATTTAATTGTTGAAAAGGTAGGGGGAACAATTAAATCGTGATTTAATTGTTGAAAGGTAGGGGGAACAATTGAAGGAGTAGCGAGTGAAGTGTCACACCACGTGATGTCTCACATCGTTCGCGCGTGCATGTTTTCCTGCCAGTCGACATATGCTTGTCGTGCCCACGAAAAGACCTCCGAGGAACTGTGAGCTCCCTTCGACAATCACCTCACTGCCACGCCATCAACATTCCGGTGTAGGTGTAGTTCGTTATCTGGTTGTCCCTAATTTCATGGGTGTCCTAGTGGTTAAGGTGGTTCCCGATCCGACCCGTATTCAGGCTTGGTCATTGATTCATGTCCATTAAATCCTGATTTAATTCCGCTGCGGGTTGGGGTCGTCTAGCAGAAACAATTAAATCCTGATTTAATTGTTTCTGCGGGTTGGGGTCGTCTAGAAGAAACAATTAAATCCTGATTTAATTGTTTTCCTTGAGCAGCTTGCCGGCATGGCATGCTACGTCGTGCGACGTTAACAGGCAATTAAATCGAGAGTTAATTGTGCTGGACCTAAGGGGCGTCGAGCCGGCCCGATGCCGGTCAATTAACTTCAGAGTTAATTTTCCTTAACTCTTGGATCCACTGTCTTCCCCCTAGGGGTAGGACTCCAAGGCTGCGCAGAGCTCAAGCGCGCTGCAGGTTGCCCAACGGCATGGTAGCAGCCAACAGGGACGTCGCTCATATCTGGCGACAAAGAGGCCAGAGGATGGCCAGGATTTCTGTATGGCTGTCTTCTGTTGTCTGCGTTGCCTCAGCCACCAGGAACCCGCAACGGCCAGCTTGTTGCAGCCAATGGAGGCAGTCTGAACAGTCGCCTCACGAGATGATGCCAAAAGGGCGAGAGTCAACGTTTCAAGTGATCTGTTCGTCACAGGCCACGTGGGTGGCAAGAGCGTCAGGGCCCATCTCATGCTTGCAAACGATGCCGCCGGCAAGGCAGGGCCAACACCATGGCGGTGATGTCTGATTTTTCTCCGCTTCGAATCTTGCGCCAGGTTGAAATGACGCGAAGGCTTTGTGTGATTGGCATTTGCTTCATATGGTTCATGTCACTGGACACTTTGTACAACGATCAAGCAGCTCACACCAATCCTCGCATGCTGAGCTCGGTTTGTGCACAGGCAGCAGCAGCGGGAAGGCAAGCGCGTCATTGCCGTCTTGCGAGAGAAACAGAAGCAAGAAATGAGACTTGGCATCTCGGCTGCGCAGAGTTGTACTGGCCAGCTTGAAGATGTAGAAGCCATCACACCGACCCATACCAGCACACCAAATCCCCCAAACACGCACAGCGATGTTGACTCCAATAGCTCTTCCTACGTTGCTGCCCGGTGTTGCCCATGCCCGAGGTATGCAGATGAACACTGCGTTGAAGGGAAAGCCGAAGAAGTTCCGGACACTGATGGGCGATGCCTCTGGTGCCCGGTAAGCTTCTGGAGATGAGGCGAATTGGCCGAATTGGCCGAATTTCGGACCTCCTACCGTCAATGTTTACAGTGGGTAGTGACCGCCACCGAAGCCCCTGGTCCGAGCCCGGCGCCGCTGAGTGTTTGCCCTTGTGTAGACAAGCGACAACTGCTACTGTGCTACTGCATGCACAGGGCAAGATTACACAGTGGAGCCCGATCAGACTCTGGCCTGTGTCTCGAGGTGGCACTCTCTGTCCAGTTTTCGAGCGTCCGTGCGGAGTCTTACTTTGTGCAGATCTGTGCTTATTCAACTTGAGAAGACTTCCAGCGGGTCTCAGAAGGCTGGTATGGAGAGTGTCCTGCCCTGTTCATAGTGTGGACACGGGCTTGACTTCACCGTAGGAAGAACAAAGTTGTGAAACAGTCGAAAATTTGACCCCTCCCGGTGGGGTGGTATCAGATGTCTGTTCCGCTGCAGGACTATGCCGCACACCCAAGCCTTTTCATGTTAAACTGCGCCCCTCCCCAATTCTATAGCCTGCGCACCCAGACACAGCCCCACGGGGCTCCTTGTCATGTGGTCAGGAAATGGGAGGCTTCTTCTAGTGAGCCGGATCGTGGGCTTTTGGATTGCTTGTGGGTGGTTGGCTTGGCTTCTTGTGCTTGGTGGCTTTCAGATTAAGACATCTCCTAAGCAAAAGTGCTTCTGGTGCAAGTCTTCAGGAGGTCAATTGTGGTTGGGGTGTCGAAAGTCTACAATCAGCTGTCCGCCTAAGGCAAGTTTTTCTCCAACTCGTTCTGCAAAATTTTACCAAGCAGACCAGAAAGCTTCTTTCACAAACCAAGACACCAGCATCGGCTATACAAGTTAAAAGCTTAGAAAGAAGCTGTCGAGCCCGTGTTGCGTTTCACTGAGCCAGCGCAGTGCACCCGAGAGGCAGCATCTGATTCAGCCAGGCCCTATGAGTTCAAACCAAAGCTAATTCCCGAGGGGACAAGATTTTTACAAGCTTGAACCAGAAGCTCCTCGATTACACGCTTGTCGAGACAGAGGATCTCTCAGGCTGCTGTACAGGCACATGGCTGTATCAGGAAAAGATGGACTACGAATTCTATACCATTGGGCCACAAAGCTCTTGAACTGCACGATGCAGCATGATGTGCTCCTTGCTTCGCTCAGGGTGTGGACTCGGTGGCCCAGACATTGAGGACATACAGGTCAGCCCTGATGTGTGTCATTGCTTTAAGTACACTTGAAGCTGACATAAGTTTCTGGTTCGTGCTGGTGCGGAAAGAAAGAAGTCAAACAAGGTAATTACATCATCGCGTGAGTGGTTGCACACAGCCATGTGCGCTGGCAACTCGCATGGCTGAAGAGTGTTTAGCCCTCCCACTTCATAGCACCAACTAGGACAACACCAGCATTGCCGATGCCTTTTGTCAAGTACCCGCAAGAATCGAGAGGACCTTTACAAACCATACTCTGTGTGTCATACAAGTTTCGCTGGCACCAGTCACCACAACTTCCCTCCCCCCCCCCAGCTCGCCTCCCAGCTCCATGTTCTGCGGTTGGGAGCCTCTGCATGCCAGGGCTTCGGCTTCATGCTGTCCTTCCTTGCTGCGGATGGTTCCAGCAACGCTGCTTTCCAGGCATGGGCTCCGTGCAGCATCGTGCAGCCTTGCGCACGTGTGACGAACGCTGTATGAGAACAGCTCTAGGAGGGCCCGTTTGAGCTGCATGTGCTCTCCATCAGCACCTACTGAGCAGATCCAACTGCGCCTCCACGTCCTTTGTGCGCTTCCATACCCTTCCAAGATTTTCGTTATCGTCCTCGGGAGGTGGGGGATGTCAATCGTCAATCCGTTTGGCAGTCCCCTTCCTGAGGCAATGTTTTCGCTCACCATGTTGAGCCTTTTTTCACCCTTATGCTGCGGCTTACGCTGCACACTGCGTCCGTGAGCGCAGCCCGAGGCCGTTCAGGCATGGCATGTACAGGCGTCCTGAAGACTGTGCTGCTTACACCAGCAGAAAGACCACTCAGGGACAACTAAATTGCTGGACACGGGACGAAACTTCGAGGCTACGCCACTTGCGGTGCTACGTGAAGGTCTTTGTGCAGGCTGGGCAAGTGTGCTTCCGAAGTGATTCCAAGTAAATCGACAGAGTAGCCTCGAGTCCATTCCGCGAGGACAGGGTTCTCGAGAGAGAGCTCTGCTAGTCGGCCGAGGACTGAGCTGAGACAAGGGGCTGATTTCCGTAGCCGCTGCTCCTGTGAACACCTTGAACTCCGTGAACTCGTCAGCGTCAGCAGATCCGGGAGCGGCAGAGAGTGCAAAGCCGAAACGAACATCTGAGGGCGTGCTGAAACAGCAGTCTGTCGGGCCATGGCAGAGTCAACGAGGACAGATGCCAAGAGACACACGCACATGCACAGCCTCAAGTAGCACACCCAGAGCAAGACACCGGCGACGTCTGCAAGCTTGGACCTGCGCCATGGAGTTCTCGGACTTGTCGGTGGTGCTGTAGCCAGGCTGCAGCTTAGGCTGACAGTGAGCTCACCACATGCTGGACGAAGTTGCTTGTGATGTGATGGTTCGGCATGTTCGGCAAGGCCCGACAACTTTGTGGGCATGGCAAAAGCAACTGCATCCTCACGACTTGAAGGCAACGACCGCTGTCGCTCGGCTTGTAGACGCCAGGCATCGGAGAGGGACAGTTTGTGTGCAACGTGATCAAGAAAGACACCATGTGCCAGAAAAGGTTGCGTCCCAGGCATATGCATTTGTAGCAGCCTGTTCGGTGCGCACAGCTCCCAAGGTTTCAGTGTAAGCAGTTCAGAGTTCAGACAGCCTGGACCATCTAGAAGTTGCATCGCTTTTGCACTCCCAGGGTTTTAGGATGTTTCAGAACCTTCTGGTCATCTACCCTTTGTCTCCGAGGCGAAGTGGTCCAAGAGGAGCTCAAGCGGCTCTTCGGGTCGGCACCCCTCTCGGACAAGAAGGAACCCAAGGCCCGACCAGAAGTCAGAGGTGGCCAGGGCAGCGCACCTTGCCTGTCTCAACGGTCTTAGAAGGGCAGAAATGCTATTCATGGCTTGCTTGTGCCACAAGCACGGTACACATCTTAAGTTCTGACGCTGAAGGTCCAAGCCTCTGCATCCTCCAAGCCGAGTCGTCCACCGCGGCCGCCCCCTTTAACGGATGTGGTAGAAGCCAGCAGGCAAGCGCTTTCAAGCACTGCTGGTTTCGCCATTGTGCGCTCGTCACTGTAACGCGTTGATCCGACCAGGAAAGTCAAATCAGAAAGATTCCAGCTGCCTGGCAGTGTTGGGACATCATCCACCAATATTTGGAGGGTGTGTAAAGCTGGCCGAGGCTTTCAAAGCCACCGCCTGCCGTGCCATCGACACTGATCCTCTCACAAGAGGACCGTTCTAGCTATTTCCAGCTTTGATTCACGTACTCGTCCTGAGGGTTGCCACCGCCTCATCCTCGAACGCCCAAAAAGAGGAGCGACGGAAAGCGATGGCGGAGTCGCAGCGGCGACGCAGCGGAACAAAGTGTCTGGGCGGCGCTTGGAAGAAGCTTTTCACAAGTGGCAGGGAGAACGTTGGGGTTTGTTTCGGTTGACTTGGGCTTAGTGCTGGAGCTTGTGGGTTGAAAACTCCTCTGACTCCTGTGTGAGGACTTGGAGCCAGGAGGAGGAGAACCGCTTCTGGCCAGCAGCAATTTTCTGTAGATGTGTCACACATTCTTAGGACCAGCGTCGTCTATGCCGAATATACGACAGTAGAGAAGTCTATGATCCGAGGCGAGCTTCGCCAACAGCTTCGCAAGCTGACTTCGAACGAGGCAAGCTCCATATCAACATGCTGAGGCATTTCCTTCTCATGCTGTCAGCGCATGTCCACTCTGCGGCTGTAAGTCGTCCTGCTCTCTTTAGCGATGGCCGATGGCCTGTTGCCATCCTGGCCAATTCAATGTGTTCCCACTTGTGTAATTTGATGTCGGAGCTGATGCTCGGTCTGGTAACACGATCACAGCCACTCACAGCCTCCATCCCTTCTTTTTTTTGCCTCAACTACGATGACCGACGACACATGCCGTCATTTTCATGGTCGACTCTTATTCAGAGGTTCGCCCGTGAGTTCAAGAGGTGGAGCAACGGTGCGTAAAAGTCTCGCTCCTACTCGGCTTTTTGTCTTCTTGACGTGAGGAGTTGACTTGGAAAATTTCGTGGAGTGTGGAACTTCCTAAGCAGTCGCACTATGGGCCACAGGTGTCTCGCCCCCACTTCGAAAGCGCCGCGGCAGAGAACCACTGGCTTCGCCGAGAGGCACACTTGTATCACGCCTGCACGCGCACTTGCTGACAGGAGCCCTGCAGATTGAAGAGAAACAGCGAGAGAGCGAGAGAAACAGCGAGAGCCGGGAGTTCGGGGAGCTGGGAGTGAAGGGGGTTTGAGAAACACCTACCATGCGCATAAGATGGCCAGTGGTGGGGTGTAGGGGGAGGTTTCCTCAGCAAGTGTGGGGCTTGATGCCAAGCAAAGGGAATGCGACAAGGAAACCGAGCCAGGGGCGGAACCTGTCCAGGCAGTCCTCAAAGTGCTCCTCAAAATCTTCTCACTTTTGAGGTGACCTCGAAGCTCCTCCAGGCCTGGCTCTCGGCAGAGGGCACCAGCAGTGCATCCACGAGGTGCGCGAATCCGTCGTGGTGTCATGGGAGGTGTTTAGGTCTGTCACAGCAGTCGTAAGGAGGTGACTGAAGTGTAGCCGTGTAGCCGAGCCTACTGGGCCAGGGCTCCCACCCCGGCGAACTCGACCCCGGGTTCGGCTGGGTCCTCGCATCCAGAGGCTGCCTAGAGCACGAGAGCCGGCATGCGAACCACACTGGATCCGTTCCATCGTTCCATATCACCCACACTTTGCGTCCGCCTGTGCAAGCCCGATTCAGGCTGAGCAGGCAAGTAGGGAGAAATCACGCTGATTGTGCGTTAGCTCGCAGGCGAAGCAGATCCGGTCTCAGGTTTCCTCGGAGACAGGTTCCGTGGCTTGCTGAGACCTGTTTCACGATGTATTCTGCACGAATTCATCTCTGATCCTGAGACTCTGCAACTCCAGTCTTCGCCAGTGTTCATGTCCGCAACTACTTTCCCCATGCACGTCATATCATGGCTGAACGCATGAGCTGTGGCGGCATCGAACCGAGCATACTGGTTTGTAGAGCCCAGGACTACGTGTAGGGCAGGTTGGCTCGAACTTCATTGCGGCATAGACAAGTTGTCAAGGCTCTCACGTTGTTAAACCCAGAACAAGCCAGCCGAAGCTTGGATGTGTTATGTTTGGAATTCATCGCGGTGTTAATGTGCAAATTCAGCTCTTGTGCCTGCGATCCGGCATGAAAACAGATCTATACTTCCAGAATTTTCGGAGCAGTTTCAGAGCTGCTCCCTCCAAACATTTGATACTGTCATCTTCCCTCCGGAACTGCGTCCAAGGTCCCATACTTGGCCGAGTCACGGACACCACTGCGTCATTCCTGCTTGAGGACTGGATTCTTTTCTTGGATAGAGAAATGGCGAAGCACAGTATTGGACCAGGTGGCCGATGAAATTGACATCAATATCAACATTGTTCAGGCGCTGCTGGTAGTGCAATCAATAATCGGCAGCTCTCTTCGACTGCCGCTTCTTCTCCAGTGGTGAAGGTCTATGGCTACCTGGATCAGCACACGCATGAGCTGACGCTGATGGGGACCCAGAAGGCCACTTAAAGGATCTTAAAGGTGCCGCATGCCTAGCTGAGATTCTTTGGCAGCCAGGAATGGCTTCATCAGCCGCCACTGGTGTCCTTAGAGCTGGCGGCCCTGGTTTTGAGAGGAGTCTAAAAGGACAGCAGAGCAAGAGAAGAATCTGCACAACAGAGAGTTCAAGAAGTCCGAAATCAGGCGTCAAGACCAACAAGAAATTGGGCAGGGCTGACATCTTTTGAGTCCTAGTGATCTCGTTGTCGTCGTTGTGGTTGTGTTTGTGTTGTCCAGGAAGCTTGCAGTTGTGTGGGGGGGGGGGAGATGATCGTGTCCAATGAATGCAAGACTGCTGGGAGATTGGTTGCGACTTGTGACTTGAGGCTAAAGCGAACTTGGTTCTCACAGGGCATGGCGGTCTGCACCGCGCAAAGGACCGAAGCACAGTTTGCCTTCAAGACCAGCAGCAAGTTATGTTGATTGAAAGGATACGCCCTGGGTCGCCTGTGACCTTTCAGCTGCAGAAGCTGGATCCAGAGACACCGTGCCCCACAAGTTGCATCGCACTTGGCAGCATGATGTCTCGCGGCACGGGCACGGCAATGAAGGTACATGGTCTTCATCAGCAACGTGCCCGAGGCCGGCTAATCAGGTCGCGATATAGGCGTGGATGCCGCTCGGTAATCGGCAGTTGAGGCCGAGCTCCTCTCGCCCATGCGCTTCCGCACGATGCCCTCACGACACTGGGCTGCACAGGTCCTGTCTCTGGAACACAGACTCTTCTCCATGTTCCTGCAGAGCCTCCGAGAGGAATGGAGTCGCTTCGGCTCGCTGGCCACCCAGCAACTATTCCGCTGGGGTATTCGTATCGTCGGGTTCAGCGGACGTTTCGCGGAGAGATTCCTCGTTATGCCCTCTTTGGCCAGGTCGTCATGGGGGACTACTCGGCATCGAATGCGTCGACCGTGCCACTGGATGAGCTCCTCTCAGTCGATACTTTGACACTGTGCGTGCAATGCCGTTACGCTTCTTTGCCGCAGTGCCCAAGGATGAGAACAACTCAGATCCGTGGCAGCACCTCTACCACATGGTGTCAAGGGGCGCCGAGGCGGAGCTTCACATGGAAGCTGTGGTGGTTGATGCGGTGCCGAGTGCAACATCTGCAACTGAGGTTCAGGTAGGCCTACATGTCGGCCGCACCTTTGCTGCGCAGATGTTCGAGCAGGATGGGATCTTGTAGACCCATGAGGCGCTGTCGCGTAAGTGGCTTGGTGGTGCGTGGTGCTTTGCAGGTTCGTAACAGCTTGGTCGAGCACCAGAGCTTCTGCGAGGTGCCGGGCCTGTTGGGCTTAGTCACCGGAACTACATACGTAAAACATCGTAAAAATACTTGCAGTCGCTTGCTCCTTGTGCTGCTCTCAGGGGCCGAAGCAGGCGATGCTTCGAGAGGCGCGTGCCCGGCTGAGGGAAACCTACCGCACCACGTCCCCGGCCCAGCATATTCAAGAGCTGGGTACGTCAACGTAACGCCATCAATATTAGACAAGAGCAAGCAGCACGAGAGAACGGGGAGCAGAGCACAACGAGCCGCCATGAGGTTGGGAGGCAACGAGCGCTTTCGCAAGCTGCTCTGTGAGGCGCGGATGGATCAGCAGAACGGCAGACTCTACAGGCAGGTGCAGAGGTGCCCGAGCTGGCAGAAAATACATGAAACTGGCAGATCTGCAGCAACATCAGTGTGTTCATTCCACCGCTTGACCTACAGCAGGGCAGCCCAGATTGCCAGATATCAAGCAGTGCTGATCGTGGCAACTTTGGGGTGCTGTGCAGATATGCACAGCATCTGAGGGCCCTTCTTCGCAAGCCGGATCCGGAGGCAGATGCTTCGAGTACAGGCAGTATAGGTGTTAGACTGTCAATGCCGTGTCACCTGAGCAGAGGTGAATGCGGAGTTTAGTGCCAGCTCTGCTCCCAGATTGGGGCAGGTTGCTTGTATGTTGTATCAGTCGACTGCGGGTATGGTGACAAAAAGTAATAAAAAGTAGTTGCAACGACGGACCCTGGCTGCACCGTGGTCAGTTAGAAGGCAACACGTCTAAGAGTCGTACCGAGGTCTGCAGCTGGGCGATGTGCAAGAGCTCTTGTGCCTGGCACTCGAGGTGTCGTATGCACTTTTTGAAACTCAGAATGACTCAAGCAACCCTGGCCTGGGGGCCAGGTGTACCGGGAGTACCAGCGCGCCATGTGGGTGTCGGCCTCAGCATTCCTCTATCAAGCCTATCTCCCGACACGAAGCCTGAACAGCCCACACCTGCGTGGTTTCAGGATGGCAGCTGGCACTATGGCCTGGACGTGCGACAGTTGGGCCGCGGCTGGTACCAGGATCCTGTCTCTTGGCCGATTCTAAACCTTGGAACTTGAGGCGTTAGGGTTCTACGCTCTTGGATCGGATGGCGATGGTGTCGAGTAGTGCAAGGTGTCTCCGCTATAGTTTCCGTCTAAACCACCTCAGCTAGCGGGCGCAGTGTCCTTCAAGGCTTCAGCTCAATCAGACTGGTTCTTCTAAGCACCAGCGCCTTCTAGCAAGCTGCTATGCTATTACCGTTGCGCAGAAGCCGACCGTGAACAACTGGAGATCACTCGGCATTTGGCCAATCTCCGGGCAAAATCGCATCCCTGTTTCAAGACGCCTACACCAGACCTTGAATCGGATGGCATCAAAACCAGTATTGAAGGCCCAGAGTGCCGCCCAGAACCCAACATGTCAGCATGGTTAGGATGTTGTGTGGATGAGGTGCATGAGGCGGACGTCGACATCGAGGAAGCGCTCTCTCCAGGGATTCAAAAGAACAGGCTTCGACACTAAAGGCGGCTCGAAATGCCAAGGCTGCTAAGGGTTGCAATGACGTCGAAATGTCAGAAGACCCCTTAATCCCTGAACCAACCAGTTCTGCAGGAAGTGGATGCCTCCGCGCTGGAGCCCAGGGCTTAAGCACCTTGGCGCGGGGACATGGGGTTCCTTTCGCCTCTCATTTGGCCAGTCCTATTCCTCAGGTTCCTCGTCGAGGCTGGCAAGGCCTCCCTGGATTCGGTGGAGGCGAATGGCTCGGGGAGTTGATGTGTGTGATGCGTGAAATGCGTGAAGTTCTTGTGAGTTTACAGATGTGTGAGGAGTGGCACATCCATCGATACGGGCTTATCAGCATCCTGGTGTTGGACACGACAGGCATGCCTCCGAACAAGCCAAAGCGTTAGTCACCACCTAGTCAGAATGCCGATCAAACACATGGACATATGTGGACTCAATGTGGGGACAAGCCGCAGGCAACGCCATGACCGCCGCGAGGCGCTCGGCCGATGCTTCGCGATGCCTCGGGCGGATCTCGGACGTGGATGATTTTGGATCCAAGAACATTGTAGACAAAGAGCCACCCATCATGGAGCTTAAGGGGGGGGGGGCAAGATTAGGGGACCTCCAAGATGCGATTTCTTTGCCTAAGTCCCATCAGCCCTCAACCTTAGACCCGAAACCCAAACAACAACCCACAAAAAACCACCTAAAATTCCGGCAAGTCGAGTCATGGCTATCGCCCCGCGTTAGAATCGTAGAAGCCCCTCAAATAGGTGGTGGGTCCTGGCTCTGTGCCTCTACAGCTCATGCGGGTGGCAGTATAGAATCCACCTTTCGTGGAAGCTGGACAAGTGAGACACCCCGATTTTCGGAAACCCCCACATAAGATCGGAAGGTACTTACTGCCAAAACGCGGTGAAGCCATGGTTACACGTGTTCGCAGTAAGCCCACTAGCTCCAGAACGCACCAGCTGAGACTCCTCTCCCTCCGCTCCCTTGCCTCCCTCCCTTGCTCAAGCGCTCTCTCTCTCTCTCTCTCTCTCTCTCTCTCTCTCTCTCTCTCTCTCCAGAAACAGCCAAGCCCAGACCGAGAGTGCAGAGTCAGGAGAGGTCTGGTCAAGTCTGTGAAGTGTGAGCTTAAGCTGAGGCCCTGACCAGTACTCAGCTCTGGCACCCAGCAGCTTTCTTCCCCATGGCTTATCCAAATTCGACATGCGACAGAGCTCCAAGGCCCAGCCGAGTGCTCTCCCAGCGCCAGTGGGCAGCAGTGGACGAGGCCTTTCGAAGCACCCTTCTGTCTGTTGCGTTGTCTGGATTCTCTGGACGCTTTTTCTGGCAGTGCTTGGCAGGTGCTGGCTGACGATGCTGTGCAGGTGCTCCTCCTTGTTGCTGACTCGCCGCTGGTCCTTGAGACGGAGGAGACCTGCCGTAGGCTTCATGGACACCTACTTGAATGCTTCTTTAGAAAACCAGCAGCGACTCAGCAATGACCCGGCGTTGCTCCCGAAACTCCGCGTTAACCCCATGGGTCGTTAATTTCGCGCATCTCTCATGGTTTGCCTGAATAATGGCTCTTGCGGAACTTGGAAGACATATGTCAGGAAATTCATGCCAAAATGGCTCGGCTATTCGGCTCTCATGTATGGCTCAGCCCCAAACTACCAGAAATGCTTCGTATGGCGTAGGTTTTAGTTTTCAGTGATGCAAAAGGTGATGTTTCACTGCCCCTAAGGCTTCTAAGGTGGGTGGTCGTTTTGGAGAGTTCCTATGCAAATGCGCGCTCTTGTTTTTGACTTCGTGTCTCATTGTTGACGAAAGGAAAAGGCTGTCTTTTGCACTTGCGTGCGGACGCTAAGTTTTTCGGTGGAAGATCTGGAACGCCCGCAGGATTTGGGAGGTAATCACGACATCTTGCCAACTTCCATGCTACCACTACCGCTACCACCCCCACCTTCAAACTGAGGAGGATGCCTCGCGATCGCCCGGGGCCTGTTAGTCTGTGGCTGTGCCACAAGAGTCTCAAGAGGGTTTACAAGTTGTGATGTGTGTTGCCGAGCCGAGCTCTGCACATCGATGGACAGCCCAGTGTTTTGGCCAGCGGTGTTCTGTGATGGCTGGCAACCGATCCTACTAGTAAGCAACATACCTGAGACTAGATGGAGGTTGCAGGTTTTGCATGGAAACACTTGGGTCAAGCGGGCAAAGTCAACCATTTGCCAGGTTTGCTCAGGTTGCGATTTCCCGGATGCATGTTCTGAGGCCAGGACAAACCCGGCCAAGCCTTCCTGCCCTGCTTGCTTCAGAGCTTTTCCGGTCTTTTCCCTCAGCGACATGCAGTGCGTAAGCCCGAAATGGGTCCCCGCAGATTCGGATGATTTCCCATACCCTGGCCAGGGCCAGCAGCTTCTCTCGACTCTGCCGGGAAAGGGCAGCAGGGGGCCCAAAGATGGGGCACTGGACGAGCTTTCGTTATTGGCCATGTGGATCCAGTTGAAAGCAACAGCTACGGTTCAATGGCACCGTGCGAGAAGGCTCACGAGGAACAGGCGAGAGCATTAGCAGCGATCTCTAGCCTGCTGACAATACCAGTTGGGGGCATCGAACAAACGCGAGACACTAAGCTCCATGCAGTGTTTGGTGATCCCCATAGGCACCCAGTTGCTGTATGGCTACTATAGCCACAAAAAACTCGCCCCATTGTTTCAGCGAGGCACAAGACCCTCTGACTGAGGTTTTGTGATGGGTCGCAGCAGCAGCAAAACACGTAGCTGTGAACCCCAGGCAATTCTTACGACTCACCTAGCGCGATATCTACCCGATCTCCTGTATGAGCAAATCAATAGTTCCTGCCGTTCCACCGGCATCATGGAAAAATATGGAGAAGTATGAGCTCTTTTGCAAAGCAATAGCCTTGACATGGCTTTCCAAACAAAGTTTGTGGTATGTAGTGCGCACTTCTGTGTTGGAGAGCCATGGAACGATTGGTGGTGGCTCTCCTTCCAACATTTGGTGCCCTAAGCGTGCTTTGCGTGCACAGATGCGGGCTAACAAGGTTAGAAATGTGCAGGCCCCTCTGTCATGCCCCTGTCGCTTGCAGGTACTGCCGGATCAGTACATCCTCCTGTGTTGGAGCGTGTTGCTATGTGCATGGAGAAACTGTCCGAGCACTCCTTCATTCTCTTACTGTCCGACTCATTCCTACTCATTCCTACTCATGCCCACTCTGAAGTCATCAGTGCAGGACCTGCGCTCGGAGGCTCCGGACCATGAGGCAGACACTTGGCTGTCTGTGGAGGCTGTGGCCCACAGCACTGTGCCCAAGGCCTGGCCAGCTCAAGAGGATTTTTCGGCAATCGTCTTTCAGACTTTCAATCGCAGGACCTGGTGGAGCAGATCCTCTTCGACAGCATGATGCAGGCGTCCCCCTTAATGTCGGCGTCTCCTTTTGAAGCTGACCGCGTTAAGCGGACTCCACCTGTCAATACTAAGTTCGACTACCGGGAGGCGATGCACAGAGCCAAGGACAGGAGCAAGGTGGATGTTGAGTACACGTCGATGGCGGTGGTACCTTGTCACCGCTGTTTTCTAGCACTGTCATTAACGCATAACTCAGCAGGCTCTGTCCAAGAATGCCCAAGAATGCGAACAAAGCTCCGCATGTGTACCACTCGATGAAGGAGACGGTGACCATGGCAGACATGATGTCCTGGGAAACCCCTTCCCAAGCCTGGGGTGACAACATGCCCGCAGAGGTCAGGAAAAAGATGGAGGCCCAACATTGTGCAGTGGGAGATCTCGGTCGGCAGTTTTTTCTATCTGCCGTTTTTTCTTTCCGCATCTTTCCGCTTTTTCTTTCTGTCGTTGCCTTTGGTTTTGTCGCCCGTGTCGCCTCTTCCGTTGTTCCTGCTGTTTCTTGCGCATGGATCCTGCGTCGCCTCCTGTTCACAGCCACGCTCGCTTCATCCTGGAAGGCGGTCCAGCGCCTGGCCTGCGACAAGTGCGACACGCCCGGCTGCTGCAAACCCCAACGCTGGCCCGGATGCCAAGCACCAACTGTGTCACACAGGCCATCCGGCCATCAAGAGCCCTCCTGTTTTTTCCTTTTCCTTCTTCAGGTGTTGGTGGCTGCACGAGCAGCTGACCGAGCTTCTCGCGACGTCTCGCCACGCCTTTTCATGTTGGACTGTGCCTGGTTGGCCCAGGCAGCTGACCGAACTCATTCAGCAGTCTGGCAAGCTGCTGGAGCTGCATCTAATGAGCTCTATGGCTCTATACGTTCACCTCAGGTCTTGCAGGGCAAGTCGTGACTAAGGAGTGCCTTGTCAGTGTCAGTGGATCCTTCAACCTTCCGACCAAGTAGTTCCCAATCCCAATCCCTCCCTGACAGCATCTCTGACAGCACCCCCGTGTCCTGTGTTGGTCCCCCGCATCCCCAACAAATTCAGGCAGGTGAGGGTGTACTACGACCTGCAGAAGACGAAGATGGACAAGCTGGAGGCGCGCTGCTATCGCCCAGCCGCGTCTTCTTGTGCCTTCTGTTTCCGCGTCGTTTCTTAGGAGTCGATCTTCATATGGGCCGGGGCCTTATCGGAGCTGGTCGTAGCTTCATGCATTTGGAGCGTGCTGTGGCCCCAGCGGAGACTCTTGGTTTCTTGGTTTCCATGTTCTTCGCGAGTTTTGGGTTTGCCCTTCAAGGCGTAGCGCAGGTTTGGGGTTGTTTTCGAGGGCCTGTTTGTAGGTGGGGCCTGCCAGCATCAGGGTACAAGCTAAATTCCCATCCCTAAAGCTTCTAATTGAATCCTGAGACCTTCCGAAATCCGCGGAAGCCTGAAAGCCGGCATGTCAGGGCTCGACGATGCTGCTTCCTCCCTTCCTGGCAGCACTGCGTATCCATGAGGTCACCCACCCTGACTGAGTGCGAGATGATGTGAGGATGTGATGTGCGGATGCCCAGGACGTGAGCCGCTTCCTGGCCCTCCTCTTCCACCGCCATGGCTCCAACCCCACACTGCACCGCTGCCTTGCCACCAGGCCAGTGCAAATCTCTGCATGTTCTGGAGTGCAGAAATTGACCCAACCGCGAAGCGGATCTTGAGGTGGGGCGACGTGCTCCGGAACGGCTATGTCACGATGGTTGAGAACCAGCAGGTGCCAACAAAAACACAACAAAGCCTCAAGGGATGGCCCCGTCCGCAGTTCTCCGTTGCCACCGCAGGAGCTCAACAAACAGGTGGCCAAGGCAGACGGTCACTTGCACATGTTCCCCTGTTTTTCAACGTGCACGAGCCTCGCATTGCTCCGCATGATTGAGATCTTCTGGGAAATCGGCGCCACATCCCGCATCAACAACTTCCGCAGGGCGCCTAGCACGCAAGGGCCGAGCCAAAGCTGCATTGCTGTAGTCTTTGGCATGAGCTTCCAAGAGAGAATCTACGGAATATGTAGGGAGTCTATGGGAGTCTAGGGCTCTGTGTTGTGAGGATGGGTCACGCTGTCCACGCAGCTGACACCCTTAGCAGAAGGCCTGAGATGTTGTTCGCTTAGAAGCTGCGTGATTCGCAGCAGAGTGGCCCAGTGCAGGCTGGCAGCTGATCTTCAACGGCTTCATTATCATGAGGAGGACCCTGGTAAGATCCGGTTGACGGTTTTTTTTTGAAATCAGTCTGCCCAGTTTCAAGCCAACCGCTCAGTCACTCAGCCGCTTAAACCAGACCCAGTCACTCAGGCACTCAGTCGCTCAGAGCAGACTCAGCCACTCAGACACGTAGACTTTCATTTTCGGAGGCTGGACCCAGTCTCTCAGTCACTCGAAGTCTTTGCCTTCCCAGGCCAGACCCAGCCACTCTGTCATTTAGACCTCTGTTGAGTGTCTGAGTGTCTGAGTGTCTGAGAGTGTCTCTGAGTGTCTCTGAGTGGCTGAGTGACTGAGCGACTGGTTTCAAATGCGGGCTGCTATGCACGCTCTCTCATCCGATCCAAAGGATCTGCAAATCGCACTGGGCCGTTCTCCGGTTGGCCGAGTGACATAAGCGTTACATTCCCGTGGCTCAGGAGCCTCGGCTTCCTCCATCGGACGCGGCATCGTACGAGCATGCTTAGGCGGCTTCTCTTTCGCCTTTCGATGCTCGAAAGTTCGGAAGCGATCGGAAGCGTTCTAGGCCGCAAAATGTGGATTCCGACCATTTGCTCCCGAAGGCGGAGTGGAGTGCGAGCGTTGCGTGTGCCAACCCGGATTTGGGGTGCAGTGCTGCAAGCTACCACTGAGCCCTGAGGTCGGCGGCGAGTACGACAGCTGGGAGCTGAGGCGCAGCCTCTTCCAGGCGCTTCTGCGAGTTTTTTTTGTGGTCTCACTCCACGCTTCTCCTCTCTTAGCGAAGCAGGGAAGCCTGGGAAACTTTTTCCTTGCCAGGAGACCGCGTTGTTCACAGACAAGGGGGTGCCACAACCTAAGGGTGCGGAAGAGTGCATGTGTGCTGTTATGTGCTCTTCTTCTAGGCTTCTGCCCAAGCAAAGGAATGCGGCCTAGCGCATGCCCAGGTGCTGTCATAGCCTTTCGCAGGAGATGTGCAGATCACTTCCATGGTAAGCAGGCTGCTGTACGCAGCCGGCTCCGAGGTGCTTCGGTTTCTCATCCGCCGGGTTTTCAGTGTGGTGTGGAGCTGAAGAGCTTTTTCAAGAGCTTTTCAGAGCACGGACCGGCCGAGTGTTCTTCTCGCCTCGCAAGCGATCTCTCGGAAATCGCCGGATCCTGAGGACGAGAAGATTGGAGATTTCGGCGCTTTCAAGGCCAGGGCCGGCTCAATGGATCTCTCAGTGGCTAGATATATACACATTACACACATCTCTCTCCCTGTGCTTGCCACAAGAGAGTGAAGGAATGTCACGGAGTGCATGTTCTTGGGAGGGCCATTATGCTGCCTGGCTTAATGACACGGGCCTTGTCCAGGTGGGCTGCGCAGTCATTCGCATTAAGTTTTCACTCATGTCAGCAAATGTGAGAGGTGATGGCCTATGATGGCATTGCGAATGCCACAGCCCTCGGAAGGATCGGAAGAACGCAAAGAGCCGTATTTCTGGATCATTCTCCAGGTAACATCCATGACGGGTGGCAAAGTGCAACATCAACAGCTAGGCCAGCTTCACATGCAGCAAAATCGGCTGCCGCGCTTTGAAATCTCATCGGCATCGCGAGGGCAGCGCTTCGATCTCGGCCGACGCTTTGATTGGGTGATGTCCCTAGAGGCCCGAATGGGGAACGAGGAGTGGGCAAATGGGGGCATATTTCGGCATAGTGTCCGTTCATGGTCAGGTTGGAGAGCACCTCCCTTCCACAGCAGCCTCGACTTTCTTGAGTAACATCCGCCGCCATGCTGTCAAAGGCGGGGGAAGCCGGACCGTGTCCCTATGAATCTAAGACTAAGTGGAACTCATTTTACCATGGACAGAAGCCACGCAATCCACACATAAGCCACGGCCGTCGGCCACGCTTCCCCAGGTGCAGTCATCAGCTGGGGGACGCCGGACTTTCCGTCGGTTCACCATCCCAACCTGCTCACAGAGGTGCCAATGGTGATCGGTGGCAACAAGTGAACATCGGTGGTAGCACGTAGCACGTGCGTGCATATCGCATAGCTGAGGAGGAGTCCACGAGGCTGATCCAAAGCCACGGCTTCCGGCAGGACCAGGCTGGGAGAGAGCTGATCGCAGCTTTTGTGATCTAGAATCTAGAGAGCTTGTTGTGCAACTCGCACCTCGCAGTCTCACATCGTTTTCTCTTCAATCTTTTTTTGCGATGATAGGAGCTGACCCGGCAGCTGCGGGCAGTGGCTGGGTTGCCAGGGGCTCAGGGGCTATGAGAAAGCCTCGTGAGTGGATCTTTGAGGATGTCTTTTCGTAGAGCGATGCAACGAAATGTGGTTGCATACCGCTCTCCTGCCCAGGGAGTGGCTGAAGCAAACCATCGCTGTGTACCACACGGTGGACTGGCGTGATGAGCGCTTGGATCCGCTTCTCGAGGAAAAGGAAGCACCCTTCGCACTCGCGCAGCAGATGTAAGGCAACTATTCTCCTTGCTTCCTCACCCCATGTTTTTCCCCACCCTCGGCCCGGTGTCCCCCAGCCTGGAGAGTCCCACCAAGTCGCCAAGCATCCTGGGAGCGCTCCCATGTCAATGACCAAGATCCCCCGCCTGAGATGCCCCCAGACAAGCCCGGAGTCCCGCCGAGTCTCCTTAGAGGGCCCACCGAAGGATGATAGAATCCTTCGATGAAGTGTCCTTAACTCCTTGCACTTTTGCTCCCACATTCACATGAGCGCGCTTGGGGTGGGGATGGTCGACATGAATAACTTTCGCTGCTCTGAGCACTGCTATTCGATCACTTTTGGGCCGAGGTCCGAAAGTCCGCAGTTCCTCACCTGGCGCGACAGCCGCCAGGAGCAGTCCAGGCTCTTGCAGTTTTGCGAAGACCCACATCTTTCACTTTTGAGGCATATTTTGCGGTCTTTCATTTTGAAGCCCACCTGATGCCAGCCTGCTCCAGAAGCTCTTCCAGTGGAAGTTGGCACAGTGCTTCCCGGAATCTGATGAATTCAGGCTTCAGAATTTGCCACGCCACGCCATCGCTTTGTGCGTGTTTTGCCTCAACCGGATCCCGACAAAGTTCCGAGCAGCGCAGCCCTGCACAATGCCCTCCGGAAGCTGTGAGACTCGTTGTCTCCAGGTACCCTTGCCGTGAGGCCATCGTGATCAACGGTGGGGCCGGGTTTAGTGTGGATCTCGATTGAGTTGACGCGCCCAGGTAGATCAGGGGCGGGGCAGATGCAATCAGAACCAAACTATTCCAAGCTTCAAACCTGTGGTCCTGGCACTTTGTCCGCTGGGCCTAGGCACGACAGGCGACGTGCGCGACAGCAGGCTCCGACTCGAGTAGCCGAGAAAGCCCAGAGCCGAGAGATCGCCTTCAGGCTCGGCCTTTCCATTCCCGTCATCCTTGCCGGTGTAGCGTGCACCTCGGGAGTCTTCGGAGTCTTCGATCCTCTGTGTTCCTCTGTGTTCATCTGCTTTCCATTGCTGAAAGTGAGGTGGAAGGCTCGACGTCCTGCCACCACGGCTGGAGGCTGACCGGAGAGTTGCCTGGAGGGCGCTTCAAGTGCCCTGGAGGAAGTAGAAAATGTGAGCAGGTCTCCGGGTTGAGAACAGAGTCATTTCTGTTTTATTTCATTGAATTATGTTTGATTTCACTGCCTCAGGTACAGCTACCGCCAGCCCAGTCCCAACAAGTGGGGTCTCCACTTCCTAGACATTGACCTTGGTACCTCGCATCGACCGGCGGCACATGTCTCAGCGGGTTCAGCAGTGATCCTGCAGGTGATCCTGCTGGGTGGTCAGTCGTGGAATTGTCGTCGATCCCAACGCTCGCTTTTTTTTGCGCGAGTCCTGAACATGTCCAGCCGTCTCACCAGGTCGACATCTCACTCGTCACTGGGCAGCAGGCTTAGAGCAGCAGAAGGGAGTCTGATCAGAACAGAGCTTTTTGAGCTAAGTTTTGCCAGCTTGTTGTGGCAGGGCAAACATCTAGGCCCAAAGTGGATCTTGTTGTGGAGCCCGCAATGTACAATTCTGGTCCCATGTTCGGGCAACTTGTCTGGAGTCCGACTCCAGGGTGTGGCCCAGCCTGGAACCCAGTCTCCACTTGCGTGCCGATCGCATGTGGCCCTGCGTCGGGTCCAATGTGCCCGGCACCCGTATCATGGCCGGGGGGTGGCCCGGCACCCGCATCATGGCCGGGGGGTGGCCCGGCACCCGTATGCTGGCCCATGGGTGGCCTGACACCTGTATCATGGCCCGTCGGAGGCCCCATGCCGGCACATGGCGCTGGCCCGGAATTTCAACCATTTGAAGCCCCAGCGTCATGCGTGGCCATGGCCCAAGCCATGCCAGTACAGCCAGCACCTCAGAGCATGCAGAGCCCCGTGCAAGCTCAGAGCGTGCAGAGCCCCGTGCAAGCTCAGAGTGTGCAGAGCCCTGTGCAAGCACGAGTGCAGCCGCAAGGAGTGCCAAAAGCGACAGAAGCATCAGAAGCACAGGTGGCAGAACTCCGTGAGACACTGGCCAATTTGATCAAAACGCAGGCTGCAGAGATGTCCGAGATGAAGGCCACAGCAAACGGTTTGCGGAGCTTGCTCCTGTCGTATTGCATCCCGGAGCAGGAATTGGACGAGGCTGCCAATAAGGTCCCAGATACCCAGTCCGTTTCTACGGATTGCACCGTGGATGTTCGCAGTTCCAACAAGGGTACACCACCTCCGTCTGTTCGCAACGACTCCAGCCAGGTGATGACGATGATTGACTCCTGCAGCCTTACCTCTTTCCAATCTGACATCCCGACGCCTGATGGAACGCTGGACGTGGTGGATGCAGAGCTCCTGTGCTTGGAAAAGATGACGGGCATGGTTGCGGACCGCAGCGTGCGCACTCGCCTCGCACGCCTCTCAACGTGCACCGCACTCATGGCAATTCATCGTACGCAGGAGAGAATCGAGTCACAGGGCGGCATCTGCCGCAATCTTTCAGCACTCTTACAAGCGTCTTGCAGGCATGAGAGCCAGCAAGTGTACATCCGTCGTGGAACATGGAATTCATCGTGCTGACCACGTCAGCGCGGTTGCAGCGCAGCTGGCCCAACGTTGGCCTTGGCTATAGTCATGTTATATCGCTTGTACTGGGAGGAATTTCAAGTGGCTTTGCGAAAAGTGCGAGCAGGGCCTTGACTGCATGCTTCTGTCTTTCATTGTTTGCCGACACGCGTGTGGCACTCATACCGCGTACGGTAGTCGGATAGTCGGTAGGAGCATACTTGAACAGACTTGTGCCTTTTGATCCCAAGGCCTCTACCTCAACATGCCCCACGCCCCGCGCAGCGGGGGGTCGTTCACGACAATGAAGCCTCCGGGATTGGGTGAATTGTCCTCTCAGGAGGGCTTCTCTTCACTTCTTTGTACACAGCGGGAGGACTAGCCACTAGTGAATAGTCCTCGACAATGTAGATTTTCCGGCGGCCCCAATATGGGGCAGCCAGGATAGTTAAGTGCACTGCCACGGCCAATGTTGCTGTGGCTTAGAGTCGTAGAGCAAAAGCTCAAGCTGCGAGAGCATTGCCAGCTTCTGTTGCCCTTTCACAGAGGTTCTCCTGAGAGAAGGATGCTGTGCCATTGTGCCATGACCCCTGGCTCGACAGCAGGTGTCACGACAGCTTCACACTCCCAGGGAACACCTTCAATCACCCTTGAGCCACTACATCCCTCCATTTTTTTACTCATGCAGCTACATGGGCCATGTTCTGCTCTGCCGGCTGCGGCCCACCAAGGCGCTCCTCTCTCAGGCAGGGAGACAGGGAAGGCTGAACCGCATGAGGAGTACGCAATGCAAACAGACCTGCCACACCCCAGGGATAAGTCGCTGGAGGGTGCACCGGCTGGCTGCTGTGTTTCTTAGATGCACCTTTCATGACTTTTCGTTCAGCGGCGTATTGTGCAGGGACAGCCGGGATGCTGTGCTGTCAGAAAGGAAAGCGATCTCAGCGCTTCTCTCCACTCCATCCGGCTGCGCCTAGAAGCGACTTGGATCAGACGCGCTGACTCTCCCTTCCAAGCACTGATCCAGCAATATATTTCTTCGATGGGACATAGGCAGTATCCTTTGGAAGCCGGCATCGCCGTGTTGATGTGCCGGCGCTGGTCGAAGAGGTGCGACGCGCTGTGGGTGACGGTTGTGCTATCTCCAGGGCCAGATGTGAGATCATGAGATGCTCGTTTCTTGTTTTTGTAAGGGCTCCTAGCCGTTGCGGCTAGGCGGGCTCCGTGCGAGGGGCATGCACACTCCGTGCATACTCGTGCATCTATGAAAGCAAACGAACAGGTCCTCATCCTAGGCTCGCGCCCGGAAGAAAAAACCACCCCGAACAGACTCCGCAAGAAAAAGGAAGAGGACACAATGAAGAATAATGTGGCAGGCGCAGCGATTCTGGCATGTCGCGAGCAAACCCCAGCACGTGCTAAGTACACGTCTAGCTTGAAGAAAACAGTTTCCTTTGTTCTTGTCTCAAATCATGAGACCAAAGTGGTCCTGTACACCCCGAAACCCCAAACCTTAACCCTCAACTCCAAACCATAAAAACCTAAACTTAACCCCCAAGTCCAAACCCCAAACCCTAAACTCTGGCGCGCAGCGCTGAAAAAAGCACCCCCCTCGCCCCAAAGCAAGTCGTGTTAGAGAACGGGTCAAGGGAATGTAAGAAACCGTGGCAGACGCAGCGATATCGTGTGTCTTTGACCAACCCCATCCAGGAAGCAAAATCGGGTTACGATTTCGTGACCAGTTTCTAGGGACATGGCTGCTCTCACGCACTGGTAACAATGACTGTAATCATCGTGCGGGCATGGCTCCGGCCATTCCCACGCGTAATCATCGTGCCGGCATTGATGCTCCGGCCATTCCCACGCACTGGCAACATGGACGTAATCATCGTGCCGGCATGGATGCTCTGGCCTTCGCACGCACTGGTAACGTGGACGTAATCATCGTGCGGGCATGGATGCTCTGGCCCTTCGCACGCACTGGTAACAAGCAGGGTGGTTGTTTTCCGGGCGCAAGCCACATCCTGAGGTTTGCATCCGCGCAGGGCACCGACATCCAGTTAGCCCTAGCATGTGTTAGGCCTCAGGGGTTGTAGAACGACAGTTTAGCAGGTTTGCACTTCTTTTCTTTCCTCCTGTTGCCAGCCTGGTTTTGAAGTTTGGAATTCCCATTCGGGCGTTCTTTTTTTACTCTTTAATCACGAAAGCTAGGCCAGCTGAGCTTTACTAATCTGTGCGGCAGGATGCCTGGGGGGTGTTGGGGGGTTCCAGGGGTTGCGAGCCACGAAATGACGTTTCGGGGGAGGCTGCTTTCCAGGAAGAACCCGCGGGCACCCGCCGGCGCCTTGCCGAACAGAATCAGAATTTTACATTAGGGTTTCGGGAAATATGATGCGAAACCTGGCCCAAATACTTAGGCGAAAATGCGAACTTTCGAGGCATGCCCCCCCACTACGGCTTTAAGGTAGGCAGCTCTCTTGGAAGCTAGGGAGGCTTCAACTAGTTGGATCGAATATCTCTGAACCTTTCCTTCTCCACGGCATGATTTCAGTGCCCTGAATGGCCCGAACTTCCCCAACCAGACTCTGACATCTTTGGACCCATTCCTCCGACGGAACTTTGCTCAGATGCCCCGGAACATCACAGGTTTTCGGCTATTCTAGGGCTTAAGGTCACTCGAGTTGAAATTGCATCTCCTGTTTGCTCATGCGTGCCGAGTGGCAGCCTTAGGAGCGATTGGCAAGCGTAGTTGAAACCCAACGCCCAACAGAGTCCCTCCATTAGCTTTCCCAGTCCCCCACCCGAAAGTAGTGTTGCTCGTGGAGCTTTATCGGGATATCCCTGAGCTAAGTATTGAAGTTCGTCTGCGCATGTGAAGCTGCTCCGACCGTTACATGTTGATTTCTATCGCGCTGGCCGCAGATTCGCCGTGCGACCGCATGCTTGGTGTGGAGCGAGACCCACGATGACTCGCTGTTCAACCTCTTCTGCGAGCACTCCATGCTGCCGGGACCCGACTCACCTTTTGAGACCTTTCGAGTACGTGCGACCTTTTCAGCCTCCGCGAGTGTCCATGAGATTTCTGAGACTGCCCAGTCCAACCCCTTAGAGTCTACAGAGCCCGTTAAAGCCCTCCTGTGTAAAAAAGGCTCAGCTGATCGGATTGCAAAGCTTCCATGCAGGATTTGTCGCTGCTCTCCGGGCAGAGGCCAGCCCTGTGGCAGTGCCTTGGAAATATTGCAACGGGCAAAGACAGGCAATGCCCGCTTATTCCTTTGCCGCTGTGTTAGGTTACACACCACAATTTTACAGAAGCCCATGTCCTCAGCTCAGGTGAAGTTGCAGATCCTACAGTCCCTGTCCATACTGGTGCAGAATGCCCAACGGGACTCCTGACTGCACACGCGTGCACTTCATGCGGGGTAGACGCAATGCTTTCAATGTACATGCAGGACACTTCCCTGATCTACTTGCTTTCCCAGGTGCTGGTAGCAGATCCATGAAGTTTAGGGTTCAGACTGCGACCGCCCGGCCCAGCTAGTTTCCGTCAGGGAATGCTGAACGACTTCTTCGATGATCCGCCCGCACATGCCCCAGAGACTGCACGAGACTGCTACCTACTTCGAAAAGTAGAATCTCTAGGTGCGTTGCAGACTGTGGTGTCGGCCCCCTCTATATGGGACTTCGGAGGGGTCCGGGTGGAATCCAATATCAAGATGGAGACAAGTCTTCCGAGGATCGTATGAATATTTCGTGTGGAGCGCCTTTTAAAAGCACTTGCCGGGCCTCCCTCCCCGGAGGGGGGCGCCGGGTCGCAGCTCAAAACATCAGACAATCTTAGCAGGGTCAGGCTTAGCTTCGATTTTCCCGGGCAAGGGGGGAAGCTTGAACAGTGAATGCTTGAGGAGAACATGGACGAAGAGTCCCTGGCCTACTTCGTCACGCTTCTCAAGGCTGCTCGTGAGTAGTTTTTTTCAAGGGAGACCTGCGAAGCCCGTTCGCTGCTGGCGCGTACGCATCGCTTAGACGTTGCCCAGTGCGGCCCAATGCTGCAATGCGCACTATGATGGCAGTATGCAAGTAGCGGAACACCCGAAGCATTGAATCCAGGGCATCGCTCTTCGGCTCGACGGGGAGATGGCGCTGTTGTGTCTCTCCACATGCCGAAGCACTGACGGTGCAGGCTGCAAACAACATTGTCGAGAGTTTACATAGAAGGGTTCGAGAAGGCTTGACTGACTAAGTGATGCACCGTGACTTCGCCGTCAGGATACAACGCCAGCGGCAAGATAGCTAGAATACGCATGCCGATCTTTGACAGCCTCTCGCCTCTTCCATGCACATGCACATGTTGTTTATTTTCAAGAAGTTCCTAGGGATCAACTGGATGCAGTAAGTGGTGACGCCATGAGGATTTGGCTTTGCCAGTCTGCAGCCTCCCAAAGCTTAGGAGCTGTAAAGCTGGTCGGCCACAGTGATCAGATGGTGCAGAACCTTTGCAGCAGTCGGCACCCATCTGCGTAAAGAGCCTAGAAACGACGGCATAACAAGGTATATTCGTACCTCTTACAAGTATTTGCAAGGGATTCTCTCAGGACCTCGGCTCGGAATGCTGCCCTGCGGATGCTGAGCCTCGAGACGCCCGCCGTGCGGAACCCAGCTTGCCTGCAGCAGAAGCAGCGCAAGCACAGGGGTAGAGTGTACCAGCAATTCAAGGGATGGTGTTGTACCGTACCAAAAGAATGGGCTTCCAGGTGCGCGCCATCGTCGAGGGCACTGCTGCAGGCAGGGACAGCAGTGAAGCCTGGAGCAGCTTCCGCGTGCAGCGTATGCAGTGCGTGGGAGTACACCATTATTCCATCGGCGTATGCCAGAGAGGTGTCTTGGCACCTGAGCTGGCGGATGTTGCCTCGACGTTTCGCGACGGTGTCAGCTTCCATGAGGGCATCAAGGCGGAAGAGACGAAGGCGCCCCAACTGTGACGTTTGTCTCCACCTACAGCGTTGTTTAGGAGCTGTTCTGCGGCCAAGTGTTTGAAGAACCCCTTTGGTTCGTGAGGCGCAGCCTGCAGCTCTCACCTCCTTGCTCGACTTTGTCGGGGATCTGCTTTGCTTAGGCCGGTGGATGTGGATGTCAGGTGATGTGAGGCTTGGGAAGGGTGCCACGCCCTTCCGACAATTTTCCAAACACTTTGTTAGTTTTCTGCGGCCCTTGCTTCCTAGTTGAACAGGTTATAACGCATTCGGAGCATTGCAGGCATCCCTCCACTGACCGCTGCGCTGGAGCAAGAAGGCTTTCGACCTGGGGTTGAATACAAATCCAAGGAGCAAATGCGATCAAGTACATATGTTCCTGTGTATATATGTATAGAGATATGCACATATATACACGTGTATATCCATACGTAGTAATCTCAGCGCTACGCGACCCGCCTCGGTCGGCCAGGGCCTGTCGCCATGGTAGGACCCATGGGGTTTACAGGGGTGACGTCGCCTATTATTGTCAACGCACAGCAAGAGCGATGTAAGGAAGCGAACACGAGGTCGATGAAGTGGTCAGTGGCGAAGAAGTAAGTTGGATAGCTACACGCTGGGGGTGGGGGGGAGGGCTGGGTACGAACGGGTGGCAACGCTGCCTTTGGGGTCCGTCTCATACAGTCCCCCCCTAAATGCCCCTGCTCCACATGCTCCGTCCGCTCCTTGGTGCAATGGACGGCGGAGCTGGAAGGGTGGTTATGCTCCCTGGACACCTGGGCCTGAAGCCTCGGCGGATATGATGAAAGATTAGTATCCCAATAACATATACATATATGAGGTAAATACATACATCCTGCATACATCATTGCCTATCTATATGTATATATATATATATACATATGTATGTATGTATGTATGTATGTATGTATGTATGTATGTATGTATGTATGTATGTATGTATGTATGTATGTATGTATGTATGTATGTATGTATGTATGTATGTATGTTGCTATCTTGGGACTCGGCGGTCTCTGTGTTCCATAAGCGCGAAGGCTTCTCTGCCGTTGGCAGCCGCGCGGCCTGGCGAGGGCCGCTGATGTTGTGTCATCAGGCCTGGCCGAGACAGCTCCAGAAGCTGGGAAGTAGTCGGGAGTGCATTCCGAGCGCGAAGACTTGGCTGCGCAAGGCCGAGAACCATCCCGCCGTCCGTGTTTTCGACAAGCCCATCGAGGTGCTGAGAAGATCTGAGGAGAGTGCGTTTGAAACGTTGAGTGGTCGGACGTGGCTGTACATGGCTGTACGTGGCCGTTCCCAGGGATCGGCGGTGGTTGCTGAGATCGCAAATGGCACAATGCTGCACGGCTTAGCGCCCGAGCTGCACAGAAGAAGGGTCCGACATCCCAGCGTAGAGTCGGCAGCTTCGGGCAGCTTGAGGTGGCTTGTGTCCGCAAGAGAAGGTTGCTGCAGCACTTGCGTTGCAGGCCGTGAACGGCAACTTCGTCAGTGTCTGCTGGCAGGGGATCGACGGATGGATCGGGCGGAAGAGTCTTGACTTGTTTGTCGTGCCAGGTTGCCGGTTACCATTGCTGTAAGACAGCTGTCGTTGACGAGGTTCCAGATTCCAGGTGCTTCCAGTTTGAGCCGCTTCATGGTTGCCTTCAATGCGAAGAATCCAAGGAATGCTCGACGTGTGGGCAGGCACTCTTCTCAGGGAGTGTTGACGGGATGAGTATGTCACGAACGCTCTGTAGCAGTCTGCTTTCGTTCTTGTTTGCAATCTTGTTTTGGACATGCACGACGTACATTATCTGTGATGACCGGTTCCCTCCCCCGAGCTGGTTTCCCTGTAGCGTTTGCAAGCAGATCTGTTTTGGCGGATCAATGCCTGCCGCAATGGGGGTAAGGGGTGAAAGGTGAGGGGTGAGAGGTGAGGGCACAGCCTGAGGCCGTCCTTCATGACCAAATTGTGAGACAGGCACACGCTGGCCAAAGAGCCAGAAAAGTGCCGATTCTGACAAGATTTGCCTGTGGGAGTTGCTATCATGGCGTTCCTGGACCCCTGATCAACGCCGGGCCTTTTGGGAGCCTTCTGAGAGTTTGTCCAGAGGACTTGTAGAGGCCCTGCACGGGCCCTGTGCGACAGGGCTTTGGAGAAAGTAGCCATGCTCCTGTTGTTCCTTTCAGAGAAGGAGGTGTTTCAACAGTGTCGTGTGGCGTGAAGTGTGGCGGTTTGCAGTTTTCTCATGCCTGTTGTTCCTAGCCGCAGCATTTTTCTACTCATGATCTGAGCGGCTTCTCCTCTACGAGTGAAGTGGTGGAACCTATTGGAACCTTGAAGTTGCTAGGGGCCTTTCCCACGCCCTGAATGTTCTTGCAAGTTCGTCTGCTGGGAATGCATGGCGGTAAGTACCACATACTGCATGTCGACTTGTTGCGGTTCATGTGGGCATATGTATCATGCATCGACAAGCCAGGCCCACGGGGTGTGTGTAGAGGCAGATTTGTCATCAGCTTGGGTGCCTAAGCAAAGAAGCCGCATCTTCCGTTCGTGCATCGTTTGTCAAGGAGCTAAGGGCTTAGCATGAAGCTGGACATTTGACCGAATCATGACGCGAATCTTTTCGGGTGATTGCAGATGTGTCCAGCAGAGAACTACCCAGACGAAAGAACGGAAGTTGGTTTACACACATGAATGAGCCAACATGTTGCAGAAGCCCTGCAGAGGGTGCCAGCATCCGATGTAGCCGTCCATCGAGTGCCAATCGATGCAGCACCAGTTTTTCTTAGTGTGGCCGAAGATGCGGCCATGGTCTTCTGTGGTTGCTTTGCACGCGAAAAGGAACCTGCTGCACAGTCAGTCTGCTCCGTGAGCAAAGGCCGGCACCAGGGAGGACTTGTTGTTCCTGATGTGGATACACGCATTCGGTTTGTGCCCGCGATGCCATGTCGTGTTCGCCGTGTCGAGTGCAGCCTGGACGTGTATCTTCGATCATAGACACAGACGTCGTTATAACACCGCATCGTTGGTGCCGCTTCAGTTGACAGCATGCGCAGCTGCGTCGAAAATACCGCACGTCAGGATTGCCTCGAGCTGTCATGATATCGCGATTTGTCGGTGAGACGGTCATGGGCTGACAGAGACTGGTGTCAGGCAGTGTGGCGGAAGCGGAGCCGGACCCGGAGCCGGCAGCGTGGTTCTACGAGTAGTTAACGGGGTGGATATGCAACATGATGCAACACGATGTCCGCTGCTGTGCTTCCTGGCAAAGGCTCTAGGCGCAGCCGCTGCGCATCATCATGATCCCGCGAGGCATTAGAGAAGCTTGCGAGCAATGCTGTGACACTCAATCCCAGACTTGCTGCAACATGGCTGCTTGTGAGGTGGCGGAAGGCTTTCGCTGATGCTGGTGATGGCACAAGGAATCCAGACATGGGCCGCATCCGCAAGCTGCGGCAAGAAATTTGGCCACCTGGCAATCAGCATGTAATGTGCCCTGACGAGCCAGCTGATTTCGACACTTGGGACGTGACCTTCAAACAGAGTATCGTCTACAGTATACATACGCGGCCAAGGCAGCAAACGGAGGAGGAAATTCGGAGGCTGAAGGAATGCGACAAGTCGGAGCCGGCGCCCACGGATCTTTTCAAAATTGACAACGATTGCTACAAGGCTCGCTGTGCCATGCTCTATTCAAAGGGACGTCAGACATGGGACAGGCATGAACAGGCCCGCGGGTCTTTTGGATTGGGTTGGTTGAGTGTCCAAGGTCGGCAGCGAGGAAAGAGTATCAGTGTCGAGACGTTTGAAAAGTTGCGCGACCCCGCCTACTGCAAAGCCTGAGTGTTAGCAGGTGGGAACGCCAGGAAATCCAGGAAGCAACTCTTAGCCGAAACTGGTGTTGAGTCATATTCAGCCTCACCACGGGCAGGTGACAGACATGGGCGGCATGGGCCAGCGGCAGGTTCCGGAGGTTCGGATTTGACATCTTGGGTTTCGGTGTTTACTGTAGCAGTACAGGAATCGGGTTGAAAGCTTTGAGTGTCAGGGAGTCCGCAGAGCAGGGGTACCGCCTGCATGCAGTCATGAATAGTCAACATGCACTAGGGCCGGCAAAAGCCACGAGAACGCCTTGGAGTCTTGGAGTTTTAGAACTTATAGTTTGCAAGGCCACGTCCCCAGATTCCCGAAAGTCTAAACCTTGGTAGCTCGACGATGTCATTGGATCAGGTGCAGGATTCGATTGAGAAGCACTCGTGCCTTTTTGCTTTGTTGGGTTTCAGGCTCGGAGGGCTTAGTTTTCATAGGGTTTAGAATGCCACAAAGCAAACACTCGAGCACCAGTACATCAACAAACTACCTTGGCCTGCAGCAAAACCGCATTTGTGTGCCAGGTCTTCCCTGATCACATGACTGCGCTAGCTGCCGCGCCAGGTAACAGTGGTTGAACGCGACATGCTGGAAAGAGCTGGGGAGCTTGTCAAGCAGCGGCTCGTCTGTGCGCTTGTGCGGGTGTCGTGCTTCAGCTTTTCATTGTGTCCAGACCTTTCCATGTTGTGAGCATTCCAGGGGCTTGCCTGTGGCCATCCTGAATATGGCTTCGGCCAGCTCCCCTGGTGGTGGCTTCCGGAGTGGTGCTGGGGCTCAGGTCACTACATGGGGTCTCACATGCTGCTTCCTAGGGTTTGATTGGGTTTTGAAGTATACAGGTTGTTGTGCAGTTAAAGAATTCAGATCCAGTTGATACAAGCACAGGAGGTCACAGACTTGAATTAAAGAGGACTTGGGAACTGTTGCACAACTCGAGGAGGAGAACATGTATCGCCGAAGTGACCTCTTCCGCTTCTTGGAGCCCTGCCGTGACAGTGCCCTGGCAAACCTGAAGGTATGTGTAGGACACGGTCTCCTGCTTGAATGCTCCATTGAGCTCGACCACGGTGCTTTGCAGGTGTGTTTGTGGTGTTCCACGTCTTGCGGCTTGCCACGAGATTTTTCGGCCCAAGCAATTCAGCAGTTGAGCGTCTGTATAGCTGTGTGAGCACGAGACTCATGCACAGCTCGATGGCACAAGAAGACTGCGCCCTGTCGGAGTCTGATGTTGACGTTAGCAGGGGTGAGCAGCCACTCCTCCATGTCACAGAAGTTGTTGACGGGAATGTGAGTGATGTGAGTGTCAGAGTAAACACTCCTGGCCGCCAGCTGCTGCCAGCTTTGATCATCGCTTGTGGGCTGATTGGAGCATGCTGGTTCCTGCCACATCAGCAGATGCTGCGGGGTGGTAAGTTGGAGCTCACCGAGCTCAGTGTGCTACTCTTTGAGCCTGTGGATGGCGGTTTGACCAGGGCCTGCCGCGGAGCCAGTGTGACTGACAATTCGCCCACAAACTTCCAGCTGAGCTCGGCTGCAGATCTGGCCTTCTGCCAGTGGCTGTGCCTGAAAACGACTGGCTGCGAAGGCGTGGAGTACCACCCTTCCAACTGGCGTTGTGAGCTCTGGACTAGGCCTGGTGGCATTGAAGCATCAGCGTACTTCGAATCCGCAGAGTGCTATCGCCGAGTCGCCAATTTCGAGCCAGTGGACGGCGGTGAAAACAGGGCTTGCCGAGGGGCGACAGCTTCCGACAACAACCCGGCCCACTACGTGGTTCACCCCCATGCTTTATTGGACGATTGCGAGCGGCAATGCCTTGCGACTCCTGAGTGCAGGGGGTTCGAGTACTCAACGGGAAGATGCGAGGTTTGGGTGCGAGGAGATGGAATTCAGTCATCCGTGGAAGTGACCGGCTTCAAGTGCTTTCGAGTCGCGCTGGCAACCACGGTGACAGCCACGGCCACGGCCACTTCGAGCTCGCTCACTACGACCACCTTGAGCACTGTTACACTGACAGTGTCAACAACTTTCTCCACAACTGTCAGCTCCCTTGCTACACCAGCTGACCCGGTTCCTCTGGATCTAGTCTTCCGGCCTGTGGATGGCGGGATGAACCGCGCGTGCCGTGGAGCCGATGCCAATGACAATTCAGCAAGCTACTTCCAGGTTTTCACTGTCACGGGCATGGACGACTGTCAAAGCCGCTGTCGGGAAACTTCAGGCTGCGTTGGCATCGAGTTCATCAACACGCGCTGTGAGGTCTGGACTCGCCGGGCCGGCATTGAAGCGAGCTTCGAGCTGGCGAACTACCAATGCCTGGAGGCCTTGAGTGCTTTCGGAGAGCCTTCCTTCACATGTTCAAGACGTCCAGACGCTAATAGGACTCGCATCACAGTACGCAAATCACGTGACAGCGTCGTGCGCAGCCTGTAGAAGCTGGCAAGAACATCGAATTGTGCTGGTGCAAGTCTGGTGCATCCAGGCCCTGGCGTTCCATCCGGTGGACGGCGGAAATGACCGGGCCTGCCGCGGTGCAAGTGTCACGGACAATTCCGCGGACTACTACGCAGCTATGCCGTGCTTTAAGATGTCCACATTGCGTGTGCCATTGTGTGGCGTGTGGGGAGTCACAAAGTTTTCTTCTGTGGCAGGTCGTTTTCGATGAGACATCGCTTGACGGCTGCAAGGATCGATGTGCAGAGACGGAGGCCAACGCCTAAGGATGTAGTCTAGCATTGTAGTCTAGCATTGGCGTGTCGTAGGTAGCTTGTACAGCTGCTTGTATTGCTGTGTGGCCATCTGTCTCCTTGTCAGAAGCAGCTTTGTTGCATGGCGTGTTTGCTGCCCAATGGGAGCAGCTGCATTTTTTGAGGCACGGCGTAGGCAATTCCTTTGCTGATGTGGTGAGGCCTGCGTGGGGGTGGAGTACTCTTCCGGACGCTGCGAGGTCTGGACCAGGCAATATTCAGCACGAGTGTACAGAGTCGCGTCCTACAATGCTTCACCAAACTGAAGCCATGTGGAGGTCCGGAGGCATCCTGGCATCGGCTTCAGTGACAGGCTTCCAGTGCTACCAGCTCAGCAGCCCTCTGCGGTACTGCGCTCGAAGTGTTCGAACCAGCGGTCGGAGGATTCAGTAGACCTGACACGAAGGCAGTACATTGAGCGCTGGCAGTGTGGAGACTCAGGCAAGAGCTTCTGGCACAGGTCGCTGCATCAAACTGGGAGACTCTGCTGCCTTTACATTTGAACGCCAAAGGCTCTAAAGGCTCTAAAGCCTCTAAAGGCTCGAGCCGATTGTCCTGAGGAAGTAGTGGGGGGCGGTCTTGACCGGGAGTGCCGTGGCGCCGATTGGGATGACGACTCGCCCGGGTATTTCTCCGTGGCACATGCCAGCTCTTTGGCTCGATGCCAGGTGGCTTGATGCAACTAAGGGCTTTTGAAAGATGGGGCACATGTATGAAAGTCGGGGGGCAGAGACGAAACCGACCATGAGGAGCGCTGCCTGGAAATCACGGTCTGCGTGGGTGTCGAGTACCGAATTGGTTACTGCGAGCTCTGGACGCGGCCAGAGGGCATCGGGGCAACGATGCAGAGGAACAGTCCAGAATGCCCAGTTTGAAGATCTTCAGCGCAATTGTTAGATTCTTAGATGTGTGTTTTCTCAAGTTTTGCCCGGTTTCAGGAGCAGCTCCGTATGCCTGCGCCGACCAATTGACATCACTGCCCCACCAGCGAGTGGTGCACCGCGCACCAAGTACGTGGTGCACTACATGCCGTGGTTTTTGGGTGTCAAGTCACCAGGCGTGTATGACCATTGGTGTGTTGGTAACTCCTACTACGAGAGCTGGCTGGGGCTCTATAACCAGAACCAGCGGGAGATTGTCGGGCAGCAGCTGGACCTTATGAAGTCCAGTGGCATCGATGGCCTGTGGATCGACTACCAGCTCACCTCCTGGGACAGTGTAGTGGACATGATCATCGATGAGCTCGAGGCAGGACGCGGCATGGGGCCCCTTTACTGTAGTCTTCTGTCTAGTGCACGTGTTGTGCCTTGTCTGATGCTGTTCCTTGTAGGCTAGGGGCATGGGGGTGGCCATCGTGGTGGACAACGCCGTGAACAACAACATCTTTGTTGAGGCGCAGGTCAAGCTGATCGAGTGGGTTGGTCGGCCCCACTACTACCGACACAACGGCATCCCCGTGGTGCCTGTGTTCAATGATGTGGAGATCAACTTCCTCGCCCTCCCGTTTGAGGCGTACTACATGACGAGGCGCGAAGTTCCTCGGCCTGACTGGGCTAACGGCACATACCCGTGGATCACTGCCGACCTGGAGTGGCTGCAAGACCACTACCAGCAGGATCACAGCCTCTCCTCCTTTGCCATCGGAGCAGCATACCGGGGCTTTCGTGACTGCTACAGCAACCGTGTACTGCATGTTCCATTCTTGCAAATGTTGGAGCCTTCCCTCCTCGTGACCAGCAAATACCAGCCAGAGTTTGTCCAGATCTTGACCTGGAACGATTACAGCGAGGGCACGATGGTCGAACCCAGCTGGCTCCGTACCCATGGATCCTGCCACCAGACTTGCAGTGATTCCTACACACCCTGTCCCACCAGCTACGACTGCTTCTCGGGCCTGGAGACCCGGGATTGTGACAAGCCCTACGGTAGCCCCTTCGGTCCAACAGATCCTGCCTGCACTTCCACGTACAACAAGAGCGCGTATAGCGACTTGGACAGCTTGAAGCAGCACATCGAGCTGGAGAAATCCGGACTGCTCAAGTCCATCTTCCACACTGGGCTCTTCACACCCAGTGCGAGTGCAAAGGGGCCAGGCTGGTACTCAAGAGGCCATAAGAGCCAGCCTGAACCCACAAACTTGCAAAAGTCCGAGTTAGTAATGAAATGAGTTGCAAAATGGCTTGCAGAGTTTCTGAGACAGACCAACTTGCATTCGCCACAGCGGGGCGACTTACTGTAACTAGCCATGCCAAAAGGCAGGCCAGCAAATCAATTTTGAGCATTTGGGCAGTCCGGCTGACCAACGCTGGATCGGACCGAGATGCACATACAGCTAACCCTAATTTTGCCGATTGGTTTTAAGCCTGTGGCTGTCCGCCGGCAACCGCATGTTGGATGGTCCAGGCTGGCATGGTCTGATAGTTGCACAACGCAGCTTTTCAGAGCCAAAAGTAGGTGTGAATCGCGTTAAGCTAGCATGGATGGCCTTTACAGCAGGCCGAGGTGAGCACGAGAACCTTCTCTGCCGTTCTCAACAAAATTGCTCTCCCACGGTTGTGCCACTAGCTCTCCCGCCACCGTTTTCGCAACTTCATAGACTCTTGAAGCCTGCGGATGTCACCTGTTTTGCCAAGGTCTGTATCCGTTACAACCAGATGCATGTCTCTCGCCAGCAGCACGCTTTGCACCACCTCCCCTAGCCCGCGCTTGATGACATCATGACCATGACAATTCTAGGCTTATGACTCTCCGACCTGCAGTTTTTAGGCAGCTTACATAGTGGGCCCTCACTGCTTCTTTGCCTCGAAGAGCGGATTCGAAAAGCAACATCCCTGCTTTCCTTTGGCCGAGCCCTCGAAGCCATCTCCCACGCCGCGACCCAAGTGACGTGAGGCCTGATCTCCAGAGATGTAACCATCTTCCGTGGCTCCGAGAAGGATGGTTATCCATTTCTGAATGCCTCTCGCCTCCAACTTGGAGTGCCTCCTGTGACCCTGAATACGCTAGAGGCCGATGAAATCTAAAGTAAAAAAAAGTCAGGAGTCCAAGAATGTCTATTGAAGCGTGATAGAAATCCCCGAACCCTGCAAGTCAAATGCGAGTCCACGACTAGAAAGTAAAGTAGTAAAGACTATTGAGAGAGTCTTCTGGACCTGGTAGAACAGTAAGTATGATGGTCAGGCACTAGTGCATCGGACTCTTTGCGAATTTCGGCAAGCTAAGGACAGGTCCTTCAAAGCCACGGTCCTAACGTGTGCCGCGCTGAGCAGGCCTCACGTCCGGAATTGCGAGCGCCCCGGCTCAATCAGAGGAGATGTCCCTTCAGCAGTTCAGGAGCAGGTTCATTGTTTTTTGCTATTTCTCCGTAGCTTGTCACTGGTGCGCAACATTTCTGGCAGTGGTAGTTGCGTGACCTGTTCTACATTGGCAGAGTTTCGTGTGACCTCGTGCGTCGAGGTATGTGTACTACAACGAGGAGCAGCTAATGCGGCAAAAGGCAAGTCAAGAAGAATGGACTAAATCGAGCTTTCCTTTTCAGCACCCAGCCGAGTGAGCTGCGATCCGGCAAGTGCTGTTTCAGGCATTGCGAACTGCAAAGTCTCCGTGCTTTCCTTTGGGACAGGTCCGTGCCATTTTGAGGGCTGCAGAGGCTGCCGGCTGCCCGGCCTGCGTCCTCTCTGCCTTCGGCTGCGGTGCTTTCGGGAACCCACCGAAGGCTGGGTTTCTTTGGCCATTCGGTGGAAAGATCAAAAGGAAAAGATGTGCTTCTGTGGGTGCGCGGGGCTCGGAAACTTCCGAATCAGCCAGGTAGTCGCGCGACTCTTCCGAGAAGAGATAGCAAAGGTGAAGCTGCACCAGGCAGGTCTGAAAGTTTTGGAAGCATTGTCCTACTGTGGTTCTCCTCAGTTGGGACCTTGGGAAACTTCGGGGGGTTGGAAGGTGAGCTTCTGCATCTTCAACGACCACAACGCTGGCCGCGCGCATAACCCTCGAGGACCCTCAGCTGCACTTATCATCACCATCATTATGATGATCATTGTTCTTCTTATGATTCCTGTTATCATAAGTATTATTTCTTGTTGTGATTTTTGAGAAGTATGACTATTGCTGTGTATAGAACATGTTTATTGTTATTTGGCTCTATCGGTTTCGGCCCTCTGCAGGATACATCCCATACTTTTTTCTTTTCGCCGTGTGAGAACATCACATCCATTGTTGGCGCCCGAGGCAATTTTGCCCCCTTCAAAGAAGCCTTTGCGGACCAGCGCGCGTCACTGTAAGTCAGGGCCTGCGATGTGGAAAGAAAGCAGCTGTTGCGTTGCATCGTGTGCTGACGCGTGGAAGCGGCATTGTACGGAGGCGCATATTTTTGGTGTTCTTCGGCATAACTCCACGACAAGCAACATTCAGACCGAAACCTTGCACATGCTTGTTACGCCGCGTGCGATGTGGCTTCCAGGTGCTGACAGATGCATCAGGTATGAGGTAGAGCAGCAACGCAACTTATCCTGCCTTCCCAGTGCAAGCCAGAATTCTGTTTAATAATGCCGCATTTTAGCTCCACAGGCCCTCAAGATCTACTTTTTTGAGCTCTGTATGCGAGTGCGTAGTCTGTTGCTTCTCGTGGCCTTCGCGGAAAGAGGATCACGAGGCAATGAATGCAGGGAGGGCGGCACATCACAGTTCACAAAGTTCACAACGCAAGCTTGGTGTCCAGCTTCTGGCAGTGAGTATTGGGGACGTTGGCGGGTTTTTTCCAGCCCCCTGGCAGGTGCTCTCCCTGACTGTGGTGCTGGACAATTTGTGGCCTGGCCAACTACGGGGCTACAGAAACAACTCAAAACACATGTTTGTTGCAGGGGTAGTGTTGGTTTGAGCCAAGTTGGTGCCAGATTGGAACATCGGAGGATCTTTCGGCGACATAATGCAACTTGCGGCGTTGAATATTTTCCACTTCAGAACAGGGCTTGCGCTGCTTTTGCCAAACCGCACATCATGCAGTTGAGGTCTGGGCACGCACAGATGATTGGCTGCAGGGTCGAGTGCTGCGGCGTCTTCCTGGTGAGGTTCAGGTTCAGTGGCTGGAGGCTGGAGGACATGGGACGTGGTGTATTCCAGCTGAGAAGCCGGATAGTTTTGCATGTCCCGGTGAAGTAGAGTGTTTGTTTTACAGTCTTTGTCTTTGTGTTTAAAGGCTCAGTTGCTGCAGGCGTCTTCAGACGCATGACTTGGCCGCCCTCAAAGCAAATCTCAAAGCGCTCTCCCAAATGGCTGGGCCTTAGTTTCAGCATAAATGCTCCTCTTCAACCGAATCATTATGTCTATTTCACGTGGTTGGTGGCATGGAAGCCATAGGCCCCATACATAACTGCATGGACGAGCGAGCCACTGATGCCACTTAAAAAGCATGAACGTGTGTGGGAGAAACACGCTCCCCAGACTAAACCCTTAACAGGCAGACACCTTTCAATGTCTTGTTGCTGTTAGCGCGAGGCGCCGTTTGCGGGGAGCAACGCAACCTTGCCGCCTACAGAGATCAGGCTTGCAGGGTTCGAATGGAGACGTTCAAGTAGGCACGTGTAGGAAGGGCCGTGTCGTGGACGTTGTTGGAAGTGTTGTCATCAACCTTCGGGTTCGCCAACTTGTGCGGTATCAAGAGACGTGCACTTTGTTTTGAATACTTGGAGGATTGGGAGAAAGCTTTCGTAAGATTTGACAGGATGGGCTAGTGGACAGTTTTTGCAGTCTGTCGCTTAGGCTTTAGCCAACACTGCAAAGGTTGCAGATTGTTATCGAAAGCCGACATTCTTTGAAAAAGGAGGATTTCTTCAATGCAACAACAAAACGAAGCGACAGAATACAAGGATGCCCTTTGAGCCCTCTCCGGCTCTCACTGGTTGTCGTGCGTCGATTCTCATATTCAATCCTCTACTCATTGGACACGCAATCAAGAAAAGGTTGCCTGGTTCATGTCGTTATGGCATATTATGCTGACGACATTACGATTTGTTCTCAAGGCGAGGGCCCAACGAACTATTACGGATCACCGGGCAGATTACACAGCAGTATGGGCTCGTTTGAGCAGAGACAAGTGCGCCGCCATACCTGTGAACTGTGAAGCCACCACATATTTTCATGATGGCTCGCCCTTGTCCAGCGAACATGAAGCTGTTTGCCTTGGCAACGAGATGAATTAATCGGGAAGTCAATATTCGTCACGAAATATCTAAGGAACTACAAGAAGAAATACGCACTTGGAGAACGTTAAGCCCATGTTGGAAAGCAAAGCAAGCTGATGAGGAATGGAAGCTAGTTGTTTATGATGCAATGATCCGCAGCAAACTGCCTTTGGATTGGAAACTATTCATGTGCCTGCTGCAGCATCCAGGAAGCTGAACACTTTCCAGATGACGGGCATTCGAAAAATGGTCAACAAAACTCCGGCCTTTCTGCACCGTGCAAACACCAACAACAGACCTCCTCGAATAAGCAGCAGCTCCTCCTGGAATAAACGGCAGCCATTGCTTTTCCAGGCCGGGGCGACCAGTGAAAGATACTTGAATTTAGTGACTCCCCTCTGAATCCACTACGGCAAGAAGCTGGTTGGGAAGCCCGGGCCAAATTGGATACACCACACGAAAAGGTTTGGGGGAGTATCATATGAAGAAACCCAAATACAGGATCATGATGATCATACAATCATGCAGGTCGGCAAAGACAAAAGGGTAAGCCTCCTTTTGCTGCGGCATCGCCGTGCGTTCTGCTTGCCCTGCAGTCGATACACTAGTATGGCTGTGGAAGATTGGCGGCCATTTGGAAGCTGATACAAATTCGTGCAGGCCATGTGCCTTTGCATATCTATGACAAGTCTGTAGAAGCAGAGTCTGCAGGTCGCGCTTTGGTGGCCTCTGTGGCCGTGCAGCGCTCTGTTTGTTCGGCCGCGTGGGAAACCGTGAGGGAAAGTTCCACGAGGCCCCATCAAGATCGTGTTTACAAGGTGCTAAAATGCTTACTGGTGTTCTCGGGCTTCTCGGGCATTTCGGGGCTGTCATATCGGCGCACGTGACATGACAAGGGCATCGTGGCGTAGGTTCACAGGCCCTGCTAGCCGGGCTGACAGTTTGCCGAGTTGCGAAGGGCGGCTCTACGGAAGAGGCGCTGGAGATCTCTGCTTCTTCCGTGTGGGAGCACGTGGTGCCTCGCTGCGATCAGCACAAATGTCGACTGTATCTGTGGTAGGGTGGTAGGGTGTAGTCAATGTTTTTTCTCGCAGTGAGACTGCTTGCGTTGGCTGGCCGTGAAGCTTCAACACAGGTGCGGGCCAATCCCGACTTGCGTTGGGACATCTTCGCCCACACCTGGGACCAAGGTTTGGCGTCAGCGTGCCTCGGCCATCTTTCAGCCATAGCTGGGAGCAAGGGAATGGGTAATGGAGTTAGCTTCGGAAGTCCCCTGCATGCCGATGTTTTCATTCTACAAGCGATCAGCAGATGGGGTAGGAGTTGCAGATTCCTCTGAGAGCGGGAACCCAGGATCGCGCAGGCGTACAGGTTGACTGCTCAGTTGGCAGGCCGCGTGCACTTGCTTTTCTTGGCTTGATCCTTTCAGCAGGCAAGAAACCTATAAACACCGAGAGCCAGATACATTGCTGGAGTTGATGATCACGAAAGCTCGTCTCCATGGAGTATCTTACCAGAGTTGAACTACTCCAGAGGTGGTCGTAAAAATCAACCTGTCCGGCACCCTAAAACCCATTTGTAGCCCTTCGAAGCCTCGCTGCGCTTTGAAGCGGGGCTAAGGCCAGTGGCCCTGCACGCAGAGCCGCAGCCCGACCTTCCCACGGTGCCTTGGCAGAGCCTGGCAGAGCCTGGTGCCAGATTCGGGACGGAGGATTTGAAGGGGGACGGCTCCAGCGACTTCCCACCCAGTCAGCAGGGCGCGGTGCTGCACAAAGTCAGAACATTGCATTTTTGAACTGTCGACTATCAAGCGTTGACAATGAGAGAGCTTCCACAGGTGCTCCAGAGAAAATGTGCTAAACAATGGTAAGCCTCGTCATTTGAAGTCATGCTTGCGATGCATCCACAGAGCTTGCCAGGTGGAGAGTTTCGGGGAGACTTTCCGGCGCAGCGTGGAGCTGAAACGCGCCAAGGCCAGGGCACTGAAGCGGCGGGAGTGTTGCGCTCTGCTTCGATGTGGGACGGGTTCAACCACGTGGACACGTGGAAGCTCTGGCTATCCAACCCTTCCCCATGCAATCGCAGGAAGCGACAGACGGTTTCCGCTATGACCTTGTCGTTCTCATGCGCTACGACATCTTCTTCAGGCGAGAGGAGTTCCAGACTCCAGTATTTCTTTGACTCATTCGATCTGGAGCCAGCTGGAGCCCATGTTCGGCCAGTGCCCCACACGCTTCAGGTCTCCACTGCGGCTGACTCCCGCCGTGGGTTCGCCAGCCCTTTGGACAGGGCACTGGTGCTCGATCCACGCCGAGGACCTCGGAGTTCGCGAGGTCGCAGCTGGGCTTCATGGCCCTCAGATTCGGGATATGGGGGTTTGGGGGACAAGGGAATATGGGGGGATACGGGAATACGGGGATATGGATGACCAAACTTTGATAGGGAGTTGAGAGAATCAGGGGGGGGGGGGGGCTCCCCGGTGTGCAGCTATGAGGTATTGACCAATGACCGCAGCATCATGGATGTGCGCTACCGGCCATCGGGTGTTTACGCACCGTCCCAATTTGCGCCGACTGGACTGGACTTTGAAACATGAAGGAGGGCACCTGACCGAATGATGGCTTTGCTCCATTGACGCACCCCTGCCTGCCCACACATGCAATTCGTGCAATTAGTTTGAGAGAGAAGCGCAAGGACTGCACGACTTCTGGTTTGCGGCCTCCTCGCATGCCATGGACGGCTTCGCATCTTGGGGGGCTGCCGTGCCCGCGCTGCGCACGCGTTTCGGCTTGGCTTCCGATGAGGTGCCCGTGTCCAGGTTGCAGGCTTGCGGAGAGCCGACTTCAAGTGTTGTCCTGTTTGTCCCTGCTAGCTGCAGTGTGGCAGTGGCCTTTTGGAAACTGTTGACTGGATGTTGACTGAGGTGGATGTGGGCCACTTCTACACCTTCTTGTATGCGAAAGATTTGGGACTGCCATTGAAGTTCACAGGCGACCTTGCAGAAAACGCCAGGTGAGTATTGCGATGTTTCGCCTGGGTTCTGTGGATGCCTGGTTCGAGGCCTGAGCTACATCGACTACACGCTTGTTCGCTACCGCCACTGCAGGCTTCTGGTCGGCCCGTGCCTGAGTTTTGACTGCCTGTCGTGCAACAGATCGTTGCGTAAAATGTCTCTTACGCTTGTCGCGTACTGTAGCTGGGAAGCCGAGGCGAGCAGATCCAGGCTCCAGACACCTTCTGCAGCCACTGGGAGATCAGCATAACGAGGCCATTGCCTTGAGCAAGGAGCATTTCAGTTTAGGCAGTTTCCCAACGGCGAGCTGCCTGTGGGTGGTGAAGAGATGGAGAGAGTCACGGACTTCCTTGGGAGCCAGGCAATGCCAGTCCTGGCTGCCGCAGCCGCGGGGCTGGGCCACCCATTACTGTCCCTGAGCTTGAAGTCCTTCAGCACAGTGATCATATGTGACAGTGGGTAAGTCTATGCAGTTGTATGTAACAAAATGTGACGCTGTGTAAACAAGTGCAGATGTAATCATGTGTAACTATATGTAACTCTACGCAATAAGATTCTAATTGTGTGCAAAGTTGCAATTTGGGTGATGATGTTTACATGCAGTCGCCCTCGCATGTGCACTTTGGCACTTCCAGCTTCCATCTTCGGCAAGGTCCTTTGGCCGGGAGGCGCGCGGAGCTGACACCTTCGGGTGCCGGCTGCGGGCGCTTCTGAGATCACAAGATCTAGACGCATCTACCCAGAACGGAGCCCCCGATTCCTCCACTCGAGCCGCCAATGGAAAAAAGAAGCCTCTCTTAATTTATTCTTCGGAGATGGTGGCAGTATGTGGCAGATACTGCTGTGGGAAGAGCGCTGTTGTGAAGACATGCGCAGCGATCCCCTGCTGCGCGTTCAGAGCTTCTGCTGCAGCACCAAGTCCTGAGGTCAAAAGGCCACTGACTGCCGTCATGTCTGATACAGCTTGGCTCAAAGGCCACTGAAAGGCAGTACAGGGACAAAGCAGAGTTCTCTGGCCCGGAGCTTGGCATGTCGTAGCACAAGTGTGCTGCTGGCAGCTACTAGTAGCTTTGGGCACTAGCAAAAAGTCTCTGAAGAAGTGCAGATGCTCGGGAAATGCTGGGAACGTCGAAGCGCGAGCCGTTGCATTGCACGTGAGTCACGGCACCGAACGAGGTCTCAGCATGGCCCGCCCAATTCTGTTGCCGTTGGTGCCGCCCCCATTGCAACCACCGCAGTTCATACTAAGTTCATACTAAGTTCATACTGTAGCAGTTCCAGGCACTGTGTGCTGCCCTTCTGGTGCTCCTCAAGTCGGCCACCACCTTTGTGCAGGCTCCGGTAGTGATTTCTCTGGGGCCTCCGCACTGTAGGCCTTGTTGCTTGCTGGAGCTGCACTTTTCCCACGCAGTTAGCTGAGAGGCCCCGGCACGAACGGTGGAGGCAGGTCGGTGTGAGAAGAGATCGGCACGTTGGGCATGATTGGGCCAGCCTTTCAGGGACCCCAGCACCAGCTGCGCGTGCTGGAGACTGCGGCTGTGTCAACCGGACTCACCCTCTCAGGCCGTTCCGTGCTCGCCGAGACATGTCAAATCGGCCTCACAAACCAGCCTCAAACGGTTCTCCAAATGCACCCGCTGTCGTGTCTGCTCCGTGAGGCTCCCTGCCAGCCCTGGCCACTTGGAGCGAGGGCTCGGAGCCCGGGCAGAACATCGACCCAGCCGCTACCTCAAGTGCGAGATGGGTCAATGTGTTCTGCTGGACCACCCTCCCACTTTCGCCTTCTCTGTTTCTGCTTGCTCTTGCTGATATAGTTCATTCTGCCAACACTCCAGATGAATTCTGGTCTTCTATCACAATCTTAAACTCTAAGCCGCGACTGGACTGACATCAATTCTGTTCATCGGTTTGGTGCGCAACCCGACTGACACAAACTCTGTTCATCGATGAAACGGGCATAAGAAGGTTATGTCGAAGACAACTATCAATACTTTTCCCGGATGACGAGAAGGAGAAAAGTACGATTTCCCACCCAACAGCCATCAACAGCCATGTCCAGTTTGCGGTTCTTGGGTCAGGGCATTCCAGCGCTTGAGTGCTGGCTCGGGGTGGCGAGGGCAGGTTAGAAGATCCAGCTGTTTCCCGCTTGCACGGGATGCTCGTTTTATTGTGTGAGAAAGTTGTATCACGGCCACGTGGCCTGACGGCCTGACGTAAAGGTTTCAATGAAGCGGCTGTGTCGCGGCGTAGCTCTGATGCCCTGATGTGGCCTGATCCGAGATGTTTAGAAGTTTAGATGTTTTCAATTGAACGCGTTGGCACGTTGGCCGAACTCTTGGACCAGAGCGTCTTCGCCCCTCGTGCACGAAGAAAGCGGGAAGCTTCTCTTCAGTGGCGCAGAGCAGTAGGCTCAGTAGGAGCAGAAGAGGCAGGACGTGGAAAGTTGAGCACAGCACGGATAGACCCCAAGAAACGACACGTCAGCATTGTTCTAGATTTCGCTGCTTGCGCGCTCGGCCCAAGGACTCCACGGAGGCCTACAACCGCAAGGCTGGTGCCTGTCATGTGTCCAGTGATGCCAGTTTCGATGTGAGAGAACTCGAGCCTTGCAGATCTTGAATGCGACGGCCATTTGCTTGACCTTTTCAGTCTTCCTTGTTGGCCTTGTCGTCTCCCAGGCCCGAGATCTGTGTTGAGTCGATTACATGTGATGCTGCGCCGCTAGGGTGTGTCGCAGATTTGCTCACTGAGCCCTGTCGGCTTCTGGATCTTGCAAGCTTCCTTTCGAGGCGCGAAAGCTGGTGGAGAACAGATGGCTGAATTGAGACGCGGTGCCTCCAGCAAGGCATCGTTTTTTCAATGCATAGGCCGGTAGGCCAGCTGATTGCCTGGTGTGCTGCGGGCAAAATGTCGCTGAAGCATCCTTCATGACGTGATCCGGTGGCCAGATGGCTGTTTGTGTTCCTGTATGCACGTGCAGACATGCAAGCCAACGTCGAGTTTTTTGCCTGGAAGAGATTTTGCGGTAAAAGAGGGCTCTCTGTCGAAGGAAAGGGGCGCTGCAGCAATTTGCACCAAGCACGGGTTTCGAGCGTGCTCCGACCCATCCAGCCAGGCTCGTGTTGCAGCCTTCAGAGTTCAGAGTAGCTGAGGAATAGCATGGAATAGCTGAGTAACTCGTCATCGGCAGCTTTTCCACGGTCAGGCTTGGGCGGGATGGGTGAGTCCTTCTCCCGGTCACGGGCTTGGTCATTCCTGTGCTTGGCTGTTGTTACTTGACTGGCGCGAATGCCACCAGCCTTTGGAGTGAGGTCGCTGCAATCCTGCTATGACCCCGAGGGCACGGCAAATATTATCCGAAAGAAGAAGGCAGCCTTGTAGTACCTCGCAGCTACACGCCCTTAGAGGATCACTGCATCTAGCTCCCTCATCTTCTCAAGTGCCGTGTCGGCATTCAGACCTCAGGCGCAAAGAGCTGCGCTGAATCAGTATGAGGCCTCGCCGCGTTTTGCTTCGTAAAGGCTGCACCACCTCTTCAGAAGTTGCAGCTGTTAGCTGCGATGAGGAGCTGCTGAAACGCGTGGGAGATAGAGACCCATCTGCAACAGCAGAGGCCACTGCGTACCATCCTTGTGCAGTTCTATATAGCTCCGTCGATTGGTCCTCGTTTGTTCCTCGACCCATCCGACCCCTACACACATCTTTTGCAGGTGGTACAGTTCGACCAAGAGAACAGGAACAAGGCACCGCGCCAGTTTCAAGCTGTTCGCTTTGAGAGGAAGCAGCGCGGAGTCATCAGAGAAATGATAAGAGATCCACACCTGCAGGGACACGGGGAGTTCAAGGGCAAGTTCTGGGAGGAGCTGCAGCAGCACGACGATTGGTCCCGCCCGAAGTTTTTTGTTTCCGACAGCCATCACTTTGTGCTAATGAGTGCCATCCAATCAGCGGGATTTGCGCAAGGCCAAAAGTGCTTGAAAAGCGAAAGAATCTGGGCGTGCCCTTGCCATGACTGCACGTCTGAGAGGGAACGCAAAATGCGGTAGTAGAGGATGTCGGATTTGGGGTTCGGTTCATGCGAAGTCTGCAGCTTACAGGCTTAGAGTCCTGCAACGCCATGTGGCACATCAAGCGATTTCCAAAGAGAACTTGGTTTCACTTCCAGACCCGTGCGGAGCGATCGCCGGGACATCTCACTCGAATCAAGAACCGGCTCGTACCCTGGTTCCAGCATCCATGTACAAGGCTATATGCGCATGTGTAGAGCCAGTTCTTGGACATGCCGAGAAGCAATTGGCAATGCCCTGTCGCCAAAAAGCAGACATAATGGTTCGCTATGGTTCGCTAATGTTCGCCACTTCTCTCCAGAACCTTTTGGAATCTGCTGCAGAAAATCACGACCACCGTTAGTTAAGTTGACACGACCAGGCCACGGCAAGGTTCGCGCAATTGGCTAAGTTTGGTCAAGTGCCAGGTGCACTGCTCAACTCTTCTTGCGCGGGTGTGGCTGCTCTCCCTCGCGTGCCTGAAATCCCCATCTGGCCCCTAGCCAGATGCTACATGAGCGCAGACCGTTGCAACTTGCAGGACTCATTCAGACGATGCGCCGCAGAATCATGAAGTGTGTCAGCCCATCCTTTTCTTTGCGGCTCCGTCCTTTGCTGCAACAATAATGAGTGCCCCGGTTTACTATCATGATATCCAAGATCACCGAAGTGCAGATCGTTCAGCCACATCGAAGCTCCCGCAACATCTCTCAAAGTGGAACTTGGCGCGCAAGCAGGGCGATGTTGATCATGTAAGAATCAACATCATGACTCGGAGCATGTCATCGAGATAACGCTGGGACAGCCAGAAAACCTGCAACTCACGGGTGCTGAAAATCTGGCTAGTATTGCTACCAATTCGTGCCGCCAACGTGGTAGTTTATCGTTCTATGCGTGCACGCTTCCGGTTGCTGGCCCGTTGGTCTTTCCCTGCCGCTTGTTGGTGCCCAAACCACCCTCGATCACCTCCGAAAGCCAGCCCGCAAAGCCTGAGAAGTCTCGGACCTGGTGCTGTGGCTTTGTCGTACTCGACCGCTGCCATGTTGCGATGATCACCTGATATCACCTGCTTGGTGCCATGCCTCTTTGCTCAAGCGCTGCAGGAGGCTGCTTTGCAACTCACTCAGGTCCAGGTCCCTCCCCAAACAAGGAAAGTGGCATAAGTCGCGCCAGTTCTGTTTTAATCCTTGCTTGTCGTCGCTGGGGGAAAATATAGGATTGCAGTACAACCGGCTCCGGTACAGAAGGAGTCTGGGGCTTCAACGCTCAACCCGCAATCCTGGCTTTGTGGCTCAAGAAACTCGGGTTAAGATGCGGTTAGCTGTTGGAGAGCTAATGTTATGCCTTCCTGCAGGGGAGCTTGGGCTCCTGCACTGTAGAAGCTGGTCTGGCTCGCAAATGCGAATGTCGTCCTCGCGTCTTGCGCAACTTCCTGCCGACACCGGAGTGTCGGCCCTTCAGGCAGCGTGGGTCCCACGACGTGCGTTACAGCCCCCGGCTGTGCGGGCAGCGGCCGCCGAACACGGACGCACCCCAAAGCCGCCGGTGCTGGCTCGTTGTTGTTGGCCCGGAATTCATGCAGCATCATGCAGCTGTGGCATGTCTTCCTCCCCGTTTACTTCCGAACCTCAAGCAGGGAGCTCGCGGAGCCTCCCGCAACAGCCAGCGCCGCCCAGTACACAGGCGGACCGCGCGGCTGGCCAAAGCGCGCCGTCGCAACAGCGTCGCCGCTTCGGCTAAGTTCCGGGTGGGTGTCACGCCTTTTGCGCCGGGCGCCGTTGACAGCGGCACGGCCCATCGTGCTTGGGCACGTGGGTGGGGTTCCCGGACCGGGTGTCCGTGACGTCCATGTCGGCCACACGGACATTGTGGGGTTGAGTGGCAGGGCGATGTGGAGCGCGGACCTTTGGTGATCTCCCAAAGTATCGAGACGGGCAAGCACAAATGCATGGGGCAGCATCCGCAAACCTCGCACGGAACTGCGCGCTGAAGGCAGGTGGTGTGTGGCCCGGCCTGTGAGTGCAGCAGCGGGCGGGACGCAGGAGACAGGTCAGCAAGAGACGCACGCGCAGACGTCACATGCCTCGGCAGCACAGCACTGCCAGCCTTTCAGGTGGTCGCCCGGCTCATCTTTGTCGCTGCGCAGTCGCATTGGGGCGGGCTACAATCTCCGCTCGCGCGCCGCGGCTGCCGCCCTAAACCCTAAACCCTAAACCCTAAACCCTAACCCTAAACCCTAAACCCTAAACCCTAAACCCTAAACCCTAAACCCTAAACCCTAAACCCTAAACCCTAAACTTTTGGGGGCTTCGCCCTTGTGCGCCAGCGCAGCTTTTTGTTGAGTTGTCGTCAGTTGCTTTGCGGTTGCGTAGGCGAGGAGGTTTAAGTAAATCGAACACAGCAGACTTTTGGGCTTTGTGCCTGCGCAGGGCAAGGAGGTTCAAGAAGAGTGAACATTTCAGCACTTTGGAGCTGTTTGAAAGCCACCCGGTGCCTTTTCGGGCTCTTTGCTGGTGGGCCTTTTTGAACGAATTTGGGGCTCTGAAGGCAACTTCCGTTGCCAATTCGGGTGTTCTGAGGTCTTCTGAAGCATATTTGAGCTCTTTTTTTTGCGAATTTGGGCTTCTGAAGCCAATCCGGGCCTTCTGTTCAGCCTCTCGAAAACTTTTCGTCGAGAAAACGGTGAAACATTTTGGAGCTTAGGGCAGCCACCTATAGAATAGTTGACCTGGGCGCCACGCTGCGCTGGCGAACCCTAAACCCTAAACCCTAAACCCTAAACCCTAAACCCTAAACCCTAAACCCTAAACCCTAAACCCTAAACCCTAAACCCTAAACCCTAAACCCTAAACCCTAAACCCTAAACCCTAAACCCTAAACCCTAAACCCTAAACCCTTGTAAAAAAAAACCCTAAACCCTAAACCCTAAACCCTAAACCCTAAACCCTAAACCCTAAACCCTAAACCCTACACCCTAAACCCTAAACCCTAAACCCTAAACCCTAAACCCTAAACCCTTGCGGCGGCAGGTTCGGCGCTGAAGCTGAGAAGCTCCTGCTCGTCCTCGCGCGGCACTGTGCCGCCGCAGTCCCTGCCCACATGCGTCCCAGTGTCGCGTGGGTCGCCCACTGGTCCGGCGCGGTCGCTTCCCAGAGCGCCTTCGCCTCGCTTCTCGAAGCCTCCGCGGCGTAGACGACGGGCCGCCCTGACCTACATGAGGTCCTCGCCGATGCGCGCTGGGACTAGTAGGCCCCCACAACCGTAGCCAGATCGGGAACGCGCGCGGCAGCCAGAAGAAGGCAACCCGCTTGTAGGTCATCAACCGATGTCAGCAAGGTTGGGCGTCTCTTCGCCAGTGGCGTTCCAGATGCCCGCGTCCTGCCCTCGTGGAGGTGGATGAGCGCGCAGATCCATAAGGCGCTCGCCAATCGTAAAGCACGCGAACGCGATCGGGCGTGGCGACGATGTAGAGGTCATGGAGGAAGGCAAACACGGCGCCTCGCCTTCTTCATGCTGGCTTTGCAGATGCGCTCGCCCGGCGGCGCTGGCGGAGCCTCGATCGGAGACCGATGGTGGGCACTACCCCGCTTGCCTCCCCCCGAGGATGGCAGACGCCGCTTGTTTGGCACCACCTGCTGTTCACCTGCAAAGTGACGCGCCCAGTCACATCAGGGAAGGGATGCCACGCCATTGCCTTGGCAAGATGCTCGACCGCCGAGCTTGGTGGCCGGCGAGCGGAACTTTTGGCTGTTCACATCCCCTTGCTGCACGCAGGGGCG